GCTAGTCCGGAAACTCAACATGAAACGTGATGTAAAATTTGCTGTCGCTGGACTGTTGGGTATGGCTTGCGTGTATGTACCTATACCCTTAGTAACCTCCACTCAACCACACATACTAACCCACTTGAAATGAACAGTGCCTCCATCGCCGTCTTCATCCGCATCCCCTACATCCACACCCTCTACAGCGTCGACTACCTCTGTACGCCTTCCCCAATAACCCCCCACCTTAGCAAACCACATCGAATACTAACAAAGAATAACAGGGGCAACAACCCCCATAGCAATCTGGTCCAACATCGAAACCGGCCTAGGCATCTTCGCCGGCAGCATGGCAACCCTCCGACCAATCCTCCGCAAATTCAACCCTTCAACCCGAGGCAACGAATACACCTCCGATCCGTGGCCAAGCACCCGCAACAAGCAACGAAACTTCTCCGTCCCGCTCCGCTCCCTCGACACCAACACTACGCGCACACCACCATCTGAATTCGACGATCGCATGGCGATGCACGCCCACGATGAGCGGTTATATGGGACGACGATGTACAGTGTTGAGACGGGGGAGAGGGTAGATACGGATGTGGATGTGGTTGACGGTGGGGAGAGTGGACATGGACATGGTGGCAGGGTGGATGAGTATCCGATATTGCCCAAGAATGGGGCTACGGTAAATGGTGGTGGGAATGGGATCGGGATGAAGTTTCCCGGAATTATTAGTGTTAGAAGGGAGGTGTTGGTTACGACTTCTGCTTAGAGAGATGCTTTTTTTTCTTGTGGTTATTTGTTCTTGTTTTTGGGATGGGATGGGTTGGGTTGGCATTGGTGGAGTTGGGTATATACCATTTAATTTTCATTATTTTATTCTTTCTATAGAATATATCTTACATCAATATTGGGTTGGTAGTAGACTATTGATTGTTATGTTGTTGTAGGATAGATCGGCAACGGCGATATTCTCTTTGTATGTAGCAGCCGAGCGATCGTCCCAAGGGTCTGTCTGGTTTATGGCTGATCTGCAACGGGTCGCAGGGCTAGATTGAAACTCTAATCACGGTCGGTCGGTCGGCCAGGGGGGGGGGTCTTCGCATTGCATGCTATAGTTATTATTGAGTTTGGGATGATCCGTACCGAGGTAGTAAATCATTCGTTGGGGAGGAGTGATGAATGTGTGCATTTGGTTGGCATAAGGAGTATTTATGCTGTGGTGGATATCGCGCATAGAATACATTGATTAGATGATGAATAGGTACGAGATATGCTCAGTTATGGCTTGTTAAGTATGTGTCGAGAGCATTACACCTAAGCAGTAGAAGAAGAAGTGTACTCCTGAGTAGTAGAAGTGTTGGCACCATATCTAATCTATTGTATTGATTTAATCTATCAATGGACCGGCCGTCTCAATACTTTTATATTATAGTGATATCACGTAGTCAAAAAGCCCTGCAATCTCAACAAAAGCATAACCTGAGGAAACAGACAACTTCCGACATATTATTTTCGACTCCTTTTTGTGCAGCGTCGTGAATCTGACCTGATTGACCTGGGTGACGCTTCAGGTCTTTGTCAAGGGTATCCTCCCCACGCGAGTCTGCCATAGACCCCAAGTCATATGGGTCGGGGCTGGCTCACAGCATAGAGCAGAGCAGCATTCAAGACCTGCCCCAGACAGAAAACAGAAAAACCCAGACGGTGTGTACCGTCAACAGTATCCTTCTCACCAGAACTCCAGCAAAATACCGCTCCTCCGCCAAAGAGATCTATTGCTTCCGGCCAATGCTCCGCTGACCCTGCACAACTGCCTTGGAGACCTCATCCAGGCAGCCCGCAGCGGCGGCAAAGAAACCGAGGAAAGCCCGGCTGGGGCTCAAGACCCGACTGAGGTACTCGGGGTGGAACTGGACACCGACGAACCAGGGGTGGTCCTTGATCTCGATGATCTCCATACGCTCGCCCTTGGTATCCTTTCCGATGAAGGAGAGACCAGCCTTCTCGATCTGCTCGATCATGTCGGGGTTGACCTCGTAACGATGACGGTGGCGCTCCTCAATCTGCGAGACGGAAGGTCCGTACAGACCACGCAGACGAGACCATTCGGTGTTCTCCTGGAAGACACAGGGGTGTCTGCCAAGACGCATGGTTCCACCAAGCTTGCCCTTGTCGACCTCGGGCATGTAGACAATGGCGTGGTTCTCGGCCTTGGGGTGCAGCTCCTCACTGCCGACATCCTTGATGTTGGCGACGTTGCGGCAGAACTCCAGCACGGCCAGCTGCATACCCAGGCAGACACCCAGGAAGGGCTTGTTGTTGGTACGCGCCCATGTGATGGCCTTCATCATACCCTCAGTACCTCTGTTACCGAAACCACCGGGCACCAGGACACCATCGGCCGTGCAAACCGCGTGCCAGGCCTTGTGGTAGTCGGCGGGAGAGGCGGTGTCATCCTCCAGGTGCGACGAGTCGACCCAGATGATCTGAACCTTCTTGTGGCAGTACATGGCCGCGTGCTCCAGAGCCTTGGAGACACTGATGTAGGCGTCGTGGAGGGAAGTGTATTTGCCAACCAGGGCAATGGAGACGGAATCATGGAGGAAGTCCTGACCACGAGCAAGGTCGCACCAGTCGTTCCACATGCGGCTGCCCTGCTCCTTGCGCTCAGGGGTCTGGGGGATCGACTTCAGGTCGAGCATATCGGTGATGGTGCTGATCAGCTTCTGCTTCTCAAGAAGCATGGGCACGTGGTATGTCGTCGTGACGTTGTGCACGGCAATGACCTGGTGCTGCTCGACGGAACACATGTTGGCGATCTTGTTGATGGTGCTATCCTCCAGAGGTTGCTCGCAGCGACAAGCAATCAGGTCGGGGTTGAGACCAGCACTCCGCACATCGCTGATTGCCCTCTGCGTGGGTTTCGTCTTCTGCTCACCACCAGGTCCCGGCGGGATGACGGGCACATAGGAAACGTGGATCTGGACAAAGTTGCCCTTGCCGGCCTTTCTCTGGAGCTGGCTCAGAGCGTGGATGAAGGGCGCACTCTCGATGTCACCAACGGTACCACCCAACTCGATGATGCAGACATCCGGCTCCGCCTTGGATTCGTCGACGGGTATCTTGGCTACCCGCTGAATCCACTCCTGAATGGCATCGGTGACGTGGGGCACGACCTGGACGGTCTTACCGAGATAGTGGCCGATGCGCTCGCGGTTGATGACGTGCTGGTAGACCTTTCCGGTGGTGATGTTGTGATCGCGGGAGAGAGAGGAGAGGAGGTAGCGCTCGTAGTTGCCAAGGTCGAGGTCCATTTCACCACCGTCGTCTGTGACATAGACCTCACCGTGCCTAGCATAGTGGGGGTGATGTCAATAAGGTGTATCACCGAGAAGCCGAAAGCCACGCAGATACTGACTCAGTAGGTGCCATTGTGCCCGCATCGATGTTGATGTAAGGGTCGATCTTGATAGAGGTGACGGCCAGACCGGTGGTCTTGAGCAGGAGACCGGTGCTGGAGGCAATAATGCCCTTGCCCACGCCGGAGATGACACCTGAGGAACGGGCGGGTTTCGTTAGCAAGAGGGCACAAGGCGAGGGACCCTGGCAACTCCGCTGGTTTCCAGCCGAGCCGAGCAATTGAGCTTACCTCCGGAAACCAGAACGTATTTCATCTTTGCAGCGACCGACGGAGACGGAGTGGTGACAAGGGGACGTGAGCGATACCGCGGAGCAAAGAGTCAAAGAACGAGGCGAAAAAAAGTTCGATTTGTGACCCTCCCGAAGCGGTGGGCCTGGTTGGTCAGGTGACTTTCTTATCTTATCGGGTTATCTTATCGGCCTTACAGCGACAATTGGTATAGCTGATACTTTCAAAGCCAGTTGAGGAGACAAAGCTGGAAATTAAATTGTCATATGTAGCTTCAATTGGTATGCATGGTAAAGGCTTTTATTTAGCAACATCATGTTGTTGTGTCCTTCTCATCTGAGTCATTCCATCCCAATCTGTATTCATCTGTATTTTAAATCTGCTCTGATTGGCACCCGTGTGACGCCAAGCCCAGTCAAACGGTTACATTCGGGACTTCTGCCTGACGATGCTAGGCAGCACTCCTCTTGTATCATGAATAATACAGTCTATTGCTTCACTAAGTTGTGTATCATTTTATACAGTTGCCCTAAGAAAAAATAAATGATTTAACTTTTCCGGGTTTCACTTCGAGGAACAGTTTGTAGGTAGTACATAGTTACAATCATTTCGTCCTGATCCAGAATCAACTGAAGATATATTTTCCCATGGGGTAAAGTGGTCCTACTGCTCTGTTACTTAACCCCCCTCTACCAGAGGACTAAATTGAACAAGCAACACCACTATAACTTCAACTTTCATGAGAAAAAGCTAATTATGATTTATATTAATATCATCAACATAATCATATAAGACAAGAGATAAGAGATGGAAAATTTCATAACAAAAAAAAGAACAAAAAAAAAAAAAATTTCTTTATACAGATCTTTGTGGTATCTAAGATAGTTATGAGCTTGATTTAGTACTTCCAAATCATTCCCTTATATCCAGGCTAAATTATCACCGCCTTTTCGCCCCCAACAAACCTCGTTATGGCAACAAAGAAAGGCATTCATTTCCCTGGAGCCCATTTAAGCGATTCAGCCAAGTAAGCGATTCACCCAATCATTTTCAAAGGCTACATGAACCTCTAATTCTGTTTCTTCCTAGTTGGACGGAATAAGAGAGGCTTAGTGTAAGCACTAACAGTTAGTAACCAACGCAGGATTGCCGGCGATCAACCATTTTTGCTTGTCTAGCACCAAACCTTCCGACCGACACAGCCTCACGTTCTTATAACTAGCTTGCAACTCCCTTTCCCCAATAGAATTGTATTTTATAGCATTCAATTCCTCGAGCATTCAAATTCCTCACAATTAATTGTGTTTTGACCCGAATATACGCGCCCTAGACTCGAATTCATAGGGATTGTGCAACCATCAATATGGGTCAAAAAGCTTCAACCCCTCAACCAGGGGCCAAATTACAAGTCATCGGTGCAGGTCTCTCTCGCACCGGTACGGCGTCCTTCAGCGCCGCCTTGAACATTCTTCTTGACGGACCTGTCTACCATGGTGGTACGCAGATAACAATGGGTCCGTCAACCGAGATTAAATCATGGATTACTATTCTACGCGACTGGCTATCAGGCAAAAATCACCAGAAGGTTCTTACCATGATGAAAGACCGAACAGATGGCTACGTTGCTATAACCGACGCTCCTGGCACTCAGTTCGTGCCAGAGCTCTTGGAGATTTATCCCGACAGCAAGGTTATCTGTACAGTTCGCGATCCTGATGCATGGGTCAAGAGCATGGCCCAGATTGAGGGATTGGCTACATTGTGGTTTCTACGCGCTGTTCTCCTCCCACTTCCTGGAATGCGGCACTTTGTCGAGTATATCTCGGTCTTGCAAGCGCAGTGGGATAAGGTGTATAACAATGAGCGTGCGTTTGATATCATATGGTATCGACACATTGAGTGGTTGAAGGAGATAGTGCCCGAGGATCGTCTGGTGTTCTACGATGTGCGGGAAGGTTGGGAGCCTCTTTGCAAAGCCTTGGGGAAGGATATACCTGATGTTCCATTCCCACGGATCAACGACTCCAAGGCTATTGATCAGGTTGCGCAGTATCATATTAAGCGCGGGCTAATGAGATGGGCGGCGGCCTTTGCGTTGGTAGGGGCTGCTACTGCTTGGTTTGTGCGCGGCTGAAAAAAACCCAACAATGATCATTGAAATTGTGTTATAGATAGTCAACCGTGGACATGGATATATGAATAAGATCATGTGTATACTTCAATTATCACTGCAGCAATCATATGTGACTTAGGTACTATCACTCGCTAGTAATAGTAGGGAGATAGGGATCATCCATACTACGTGGATTTATCTGCTGAAAAGTGACTGGGATGGTTGCGATTATCAACCATAATTACTTAATCTACATGTCCCCAAATGCACACGAAGCACTGAGGGAATAAGAAAAGGACCGTCACCGAACCAGACACCTAACTTGGGCATGGAAATGCCAAAGAGAATTTGTCACGAGAGCCCCCAGTTTGGGTATTGTAAAAGCAATGCAGTCAAGCAACCATTGACTAACGATACAGACGCATAGCTAATGTACAGGATTCTTCTTCCGGAAAGGCTTTTATCTGGATCTACAGCATATGGTGAAAGAAACTGATAGCAAGGAAGGAGGCAACGCTTGGATCATTTGAAGACACACCTTTCCAGCAATAAAAACCACCAACCCTACCATTTGCCCGGAAGGCTGCAAAATATTCGTCGATTTACTTTTTACTCGTCGACCGGTCGCTGTGCTAAAGCGGCTTCGAAAGTTATGACTGCAAGGGGGCGAGCATCCCCAACTTCCTTACGACGGGCCGCAGAACTCAAGATCTGTTTGGTCAAGAATCCAGCGAGAGCTGAAGAACCCTCATTTCCGGTGGCAATGGCTCGTCGGAATTACATGCACATTGCGGATCTTACATATTGACTTGGCAGCAAGGTTTTAATCACACCTACGGATCCGAAATTCTCTTTCTCACGTCGTAGTAAGACGACCGGGTCTCAGGGTTCAGTGGTCTTGACATCGTTGTCTTTCTGAGCTGAATGACGCTGTTTGTAATGCTGTACATGGTTGGCCTTTGACGCTCATCAGAGGTTATAACATTGGCATACCGCCCAAGGACGGGGTATGTACACTGGGATCTCTACTGTTCGATCATCGATGGGAATTTGAGAGCCACAACCGTGGCCCATGAAGATAAGCTTAGTGGCTATTCTACGGCGAATTTCATGCAGTTGACGATCTGTCAATGGGTGCGACCGCTCCAGCGCAGCCCGGCTCAATCACCCCCTCACATATTCTGTTGTGCCATCAGCTCATGGTAGGACAATACAACTACCCAAGCAAGGGTGCTTTGCTACGATCGTGGAAGATGGTCAACCTGAGCCAGGACTAATCAGGCTCATATTGCAGCAAGCCGGATACGTAGTCCTATGTTGATGCACCAGGAGTTTGTTGGCCGTGGGTCTGCGAGGTTTATCGGATAACGACTTATTGCTTCTGCGCGATACATGGAACATATATCCATTATTGGGCTCATGGTTGTACCGCAGACCGGTTGAAGCCTTGATATGACTAGATCGTACGTTGCACAACGAGTTCCCTCCTTGCTAATGTTTCAGATGCTCTACACTGGACAGATACCGGAATCTGATATGGGTTAGCGATACTTTCCGCAGTTGCAGAGCATGCCTGTTCGTTTATGGTTTCGGTATCATTAGCTTCGCTCCTGGCAGGAAGTAACAATGACTAGGACACGTCTTGCAACATGTTCATCTGTACCTTGAGTAAAGGCAGATATATACATGGTTAAGGGATCGGCCTATGTTCACGATTGCTGCCCGATAAGACAATCAGCCCCGAAAATCCGAGATCAGCCTCTTTCTAGACTGATACGTACGTCTGATAGCCAGTAATAGTTCGTCTATGAGTAAATATGTCGCAACCTAAACAGTCTGACGCAATAGTCATCACCTTGTCACACAATCCTACGCAAGATGCAATATACCCGTGGCATTCTTATCAAGTAATCGTTCAATTTTAACCACGAGCCGATTAAGCAACAGGAATGACAAGCATATTAACATTCGAGTTGGTTCTCTACGTGCTTACCTTAAGAAATGGATGCTAAGCAACAGTACTGGAGATCTAATTGTCGTCATTGTGCGCCTATAGAACTGCTCATAGTTTCGCCTTACCGTGAATAGGCCATGGCCCAACGCCTCATACGTCAACTCTATAGCCCTATGGTGACTCAGGGCACTCCATAGAGACATGAGAACGATGGGAAGGAACTCCTCTAGTAGCTATACTGGGATTGTTCTCAAAGGCAGCAAGTCCCGGTTATGGGAAAGGAGAAAGACTACTGACGAATGAAGTTGACTGAATTGAACAAAAAGCTGCAAGGGTACTTATCTACGCCAATGTAGGTAGCTGAAAGGAGTAGTGTTTAACTGTAAGCTATCCATAGCAGGCTAAGTTGCTATCGAGCCTCCCATATAGTGAGTATCTTATAACTTAAAGCAGATTCGTCGCCCTCCAACTTTGACTAATGGCAGACACTACTTACAACGAATTTTCTATCTAGAACCATCTCAAGTCACTCAACGCTCCATCGCAACATGTCTCTCTGGACAAACTACCAATCGCTCCCCACCACGCAGTGGGCTCATGTATTCAGAACCCGGGGTGACAGTATGGACATCAATATTTGCTAGCAGAGCCATGCTAAGAAGAACAGCTATCGAACTCAAGGAGATCCCTGTTGGGAACCCAGGCCCCGATGAAGTGTTGGTCCAAATGGAATACTCTGGAGTCTGCCACACTGACCTCCATGCTTGGAAAGGTTGGACTGCTTTGATCTCAGCTCTAAGCATCATTACTTATCAGCTTAGGGGACTTTCCTGCTACCCCGAAAAGCAATCTCGTCGGTATGTCGCATCTTTCCCATGTAGCGAACTGGTTCCAACGATGACTAGGCGGACACGAGGGAGTTGGATTGGTTGCCGCCGTCGGCTCGCAGGTAAACGGCCGTCGCATTGGAGACACCGTCGGAATACAGGTATGTTCTGTTCGCATGGCTTAACTAAGAACAAAGAGTAATGGCATGCTAGTGGATTAACAGAACTTGCGGCGTGTGCGAGTTTTGCTCTACCGGGAGACAACCGCTCTGCCCTAAGCTTCAGTTGTCGGGGTATATGGTCGATGGGACCTTCCAACAGTATTGTATTTGCAAGGCTGACAATGCAGTGCGCATTCCGTCCGGCATTTCGCTAGAGGCTGCTGCTCCGGTATGTTTGCGACTGTCTACTTCGAAATGGCGGTCTAACTCAGTGCACCGTCTAGGTTCTTTGTGCCGGAATAACTGTATACAAGGCTCTCAAAGAAAGTGAAGTCCGACCAGGAGAGATAATCGGTAAGTATGATTTTGGCTTTACCGACTGATTCATCACAGCTGATTCATGCGACCAGCCATTGTTGGTGCTGGCGGAGGATTGGGATCATTGGCTTGCCAATATGCCAAAGCATGCGGACACAAGGTCCTTGCCTTATCCTCTGGGGCCGCCAAGAGGCAAATGTGTTTATATGACCTTGGAGCGGATTACTTCGTCGATTACAAGTCGCCAGACGTTGCAGAGGAGGTGAAGCGCGTCACCGGTGGCGGACCGCATGCTGCGATGATAGTCTCATCCGTGGAAGAGCCGTTCCACCAGGCTACTCAGGTGATTTGAACGTCTCTATAATACCCTGAAGGGAAGCTGATATATTCTCAAGTACATTCGCCCTGGCGGAACAATTGTAGCTGTCGGTCTCCCACCTGGAAAGATTTGCACCGACCTTTTCCATATGATTACCCAGAGGATCAACATCAAGGGCTCCTATGTGGGGAACAGGGATGAGACGGAGGAAGCACTTGCTATCATCATCAAGGCCGGCATCAGCGTTCAATACGAAGTTGTGGATTTCTCTGAGCTTCCAAACATATACGATCAGATGGAAAAGGGTATGTTCAATTGTGAATATACTAGGTCCAGTATTGACGTCTTCCAGGAACGATGAAAGGACGAGCCGTGCTGAAGATTGGAAAGACGCTCACAAGGGGCCCTGAGCGCCAGTTGAGTCTCTGCAGAGACCTGCATTTCTCGCCAAAGCAGACAAATGGCATGAATGGCTTTACAGCCAAGAGTGCCATTTCGGGGGCCCTTGAACGAGCTATTGAGCGGGCCGGAAGAGATTTCCGGTCTGATACTGTGACCGTTCCTACTGAGGCCGTGATGGAGGTGTGTCTCACTCGCACAAATCCAGGCAAATGCTGACTTAATTCTTCAGGCCATTGTAAATGCCTCGACCTTTGGGGATGACATCTATGATGAGGAAGGAGACGCAACAGTGAATGATTTCCAGGACAAGATTAAAGCACTAACTGGCAAAGAAGCAGCCCTATTTGTCGTGTCAGGCACCCAAGGCAACCAGATCTGCTTGCGCACTCATTTGCACCAGCCGCCTCATACAATTCTTCTTGACTATCGTGCGCACGTCCAAACCTGGGAAACTGGTGCAATCCCTGTTTTGTCCCAGGCCACAGTGACGAGCGTTGAGCCGAAGAACGGTGTTCATTTGACCCTGGATGATGTGAAGGATAGGATCATTGAGGAAGGAAATTGTAAGAAAAGTCTCCCCAAAAGGAGGCCAACCTTACTGATACTGTCGCAGTCCACTTCCCTCCCACCCGAGTTGTCTCCCTCGAAAACACCTTGAGTGGCTCGATCCTTCCATTGAAACATGCCAGAGAAATTTCGAACTACGTCCGCAGGGTTCGTGTGCCCCCAGGCCGGTCCCCCATCGCCATGCATCTTGATGGAGCCCGGTTGCTGGAAGGTATAACTGCAGAGGGAGTCTCCGCCCGCGAATACCTTGACTGCTTTGACAGTGCCAGCATCTGTATTTCCAAGGGCTGCGGTGCTCCAATGGGCAGTGTTATCGTTGGTACTCGAGAGTTCATTGACCGCGCGAAGTGGTTCCGGAAGATGTTTGGAGGCGCAACTCGACAGGTAAATCCCACAATAGTCCAAAACATTCGGATTCATAGATACTGATGAGTTAGACTGGGATGATGGCCGCTGCTGCCACCGCGGCGATGGAGCACACTCTGCCCCTACTTCCGAAAGTGCATGCGCTCACCCGGCGCGTGGCCGACTATCTCCATCGGATCGGGTACGAGTTCCTCATGCCAGTGGACACTAACATGATAGTTCTCGATCTGAAGAAAACTGGAATTACTGGAGATGATATCGTGTTCTACTGCAAGCAGCAGGGTTTGTTGGTATTCCCCAACGGGCGGCTGGCCTTCCACCACCAGATATCGGAGGATGGGGTTGCTCGGCTTCAGAGGGCGTTGTTGGAGTTGATTACGGATAAGAAGAGATTCTAAACTTGACGAGAGTATGAAGGAGAGTAGTAGATACTTGATGTGGCAACTACTGGAACTTACTGTTGATGTTGTTAGATTTCCCATAGACAGACTGCAAGGCCGTCTCACAGACAATATGAATGTTGATTCCCTGTTCTACACCCACGAATCCTCAGTATCGACACATCTAGATATCACTAATACAGACCAACTACTCCCCAATATTCATCTCCTCAATCCCCCTCGCCGCCCTCTCCTTCCAATCCGCCCTCCACCTCGTCAACGCGGGCCTCCCATGAACCACATCCCCACACGACCACAACATCCTCCTCTTATCCAAATCCTCAGAGACCTCACCATCAGGACAAACAATATAAAACCTCCCCTCGGCCATTCCCCGACTCAAAAACTCCACCACCTGCTCAGGAAACCACGCCCCATCCGGCTTCTCCGTAAAATGCCGCCTCACCATCCCGGTATACGTAAACCCCGGAACCAGCAGATGCACACCGACATTGGGATGTTTCTCATACAGACTATAACTTAACTGCTCGGCTATACTCTTCACCGCGGCTTTGGAGGCATTGTACGCCGGATTACCCGGCGGGTTCGTAATACCCTGTTTGGACCCCGTCAGGATAATCGCTCGCGGGGATGTAGTGTCACGAGTCATGTCGTCGAGGAATGTCGCTATGCCATTTGTATAGCCCAGTGTGTTCACTGCGAGGGTTCGTTGGAAGTAGAATGGGTCTGTCCAGGCAGTTTTGCCTTCTGTGGGTTGGACCATGGTGCCGGCGTTGAGGAAGAGGAGGTCGATTCCATTTGGGTAGGTGGTGGTGATGGAGGTGTGAAGGGATTGCCAGTCGGAGGAGTTGGAGACATCGATATGGTGGGCCGATGTTGTGGTCTTGAAGGGGACGATGGTGGAGGGCAGAGTTAATGCTACAAATTTGAGGACTTCTTGGTCGTTGTCAATGAGGATGAGGTTCATGCCGTGTATGCGGCAGAACCGGGCTGTGGCTTGGCCGATGCCCGAGGCGGCGCCGGTGATGAGGGCTGTTGCGCCCGGGCGGAAGACGGGGTGGAGGGTGGAGGACATGGTGTTTCGTAGTGGGCCTGTTTTTCTCTTGTATTGTTCGGGTGATGGTGGGTTTGGGTGTTGTTGGTGTGAAGATGGACGGAGGGAGAGGATGAGGGGGTGAAAGTGAGGGGTTGTTGATGCTAGATTGCGGAGACGGCGATTCGGGCTTCCGAGGGGGGTTGCCGATGCCGATGGATGGATGGCTTTACTGTGTACTCACTGTGTAGACGCGATATATGCAGAGGCATAACAGGGGTGTGGGGAGAGGGGTTACCCGAGTACTTTGTACTAGTTAGCTTGATCATCGGATGACGGTTATTAGTATGAGTAGCGGCCAGAATGAGGCCCGAAAAGGATGCTCTAAATGCAGATCCCCAGGAAACTGCCAGTTGCATGTTATATTTGAGACCAAAAGAGGTTAAATAGGCAGCTAGCATGTGTTTCTAACAGTAACTCTCCGTTGATGGGCTATTCCATTGGAAAATTGTAAGTAGCTAGTTAAACACGGTGCTTTCTGGACGAAATCTGGAAGCCATGAGAATGAGAATCCCGAGTTGAAGAAAGGCACTAATGTGTATGGTTCTATCACGTATGGTAGATACCCAATTTATTTTATTCCCCGTGCTCATTCAAGTGGCTAATGTGCCACACCAGGAACAATCTCCTGAAATAAGGGCTTGGCTGTTCTTCTTAATAGACATTGATTATCCACGGGCGCGTATCCGCGGACCTTCCGCTCCTCGCCCGGAGCTAGAAACAACGCCGACGGACATAACGCCGGTGTCAAAAAGCCACATCATACTTTTATACCCTGGCAATAGCAGGTCTAATAAAAGTTCAGATGTTACTTGATGCAGTAGCTGGATAGAAAATAACACGCTAGAAGATTGGTCAGGACCACCCGCGGACGGAGTGTAAACATGCCGAAGCCATCAACATCTCCGCATTCGGACAGCCGGCTGTGCTGCGTGTGATACATCAATAGACGGAAAATCTGTCTGATAGAACAAAAGATGGTGACTGCTCTGTACATAGAGGTTGGTTGCAAAATGGCATGGTCATCAGACACAGCATGATTCATAAAATCTCACTCGGACGCCTGAGTCGACCCACGTCAAACCAGCCAACTACCCGTCTCACCCTTCACCACCGACCCTCCATAGCCCTGTCATATGCGGGGCTTGCAATATGTAGCACTCACTATCCACCCTAATCCGGACCAGAATCAAGTATCCAATAAACATCGGCAACAAGCCATGTGCCGTCATGTTCTCGCGCTCCGAATTTCCGTTGACGGGGTCCGCGCCCTCCAACCGACATGACTTATTTAACCAGCGACATGCAGCCCATGACATGACATTCACACATCAGAGAAAGAACAACTACCTAGCTCACCCTCCTCATCAAAAAACAAAATGAAAGTCCTCATCTGCGGCGGCGGCTGCGCCGGCCCCGCTCTCGCCTTCTGGCTCTCCCGAACCAACCACCAAGTCGTGGTAGTAGAACGCTTCCCCCAGCTGCGCGACAAAGGAGCGCAGATCGATCTCCGCGAGCAAGGCATTGAAGTAGTCCGACGAATGGGTCTGCTCGACACCATCCGCAAGCACTGTGTCCACGAAGACGGCTTTACCCTCGTCGACGGCAATGACCATGTCACAGCACTAATTCGACCAAATACATCTGGACATGGATCGCAATCTTTATCATCCGAATTTGAGATCATGCGTGGTGATCTAGTCCGGATCTTATACGACGCTACCAAGAATAACGTGGAGTATCGGTTCAACACGACCGTGGAGCGCTTCGAGCAAGATGATGTGAAAGTAACGGCCTCCTTCTCGGATGGGACGTCCGAGACGTTCGATCTTCTGGTCGGTGCAGACGGACAGGGCTCGCGAATCAGACGAGGGATTCTGCCACCAGATGCACCTGATCCGTATCTCCATCTCGGTATCCACGCAGCATACTGGTTCGTTCCGCGAGAGAAAGGTGATACCAATACCTTCACGACGTATGTGTCTCCCGGTGGACGGGCGATATTCCGCCGGAGTCACAGTCCCACGACATCGCAGGTGTATTTTATGCTGAAAGACGAAGACCCGTCGCTTGCGTCTATTCACCGTGCGTCAGTGGACGCGCAGAAGGAGTTCTGGATACGGCGCTACCGCGGGGCAGGGTGGCAGACGGAACGGTTTATCGAGGGGATGAAGACGACGGATAATTTCTACTCGCAGGAAATAGTGCAGGTGAAGACGGAGACGTGGTATAAGGGACGGGTTGTTTTGTTGGGGGATGCGGCTGCCTGTCCGGCTGTGGTGACGGGGATGGGGACGACGGGGTGTCTTGTTGGGGCGTATGTGTTGGCTGGGGAGATTAACAGACATGCTGGGGATGTGGGGACGGCGTTGAAGAGTTATGATACTACGTTGAGGCCGTTTGTGAAGGAGATTCAGAAGTTGAATACGTCGATGGTGAAGATGTTCTTCCCAACTTCGTGGTGGGGAATCTGGTTGCTGCATTGGTTTGCGGCTGTGATGTGTTTCCTGAGGATTCCGGAGCTGTTGGATAGGATGGGGAGTGAGGAGGTGGGTGGTTGGAAATTGCCCGAGTATGAGGAGTTGTGGGCGCAAAATTAATTTGTATCTACTGAAAAAGTAGGGCTGTAATAAAATCTCTACTTCTAATATAAGATTATAACAAGAATAGGGCTGTAATACAAATTTGCAGGATATCGTAGTAGAAGATTCAGTGGAAGCCTTCCACAAGACCTCTTATATCATCATCACTAGCATTTTCTATAGGAGACTGTACTATAGTAAGTACTACCTGGAATGTATAATGATTAGGAATTCGGAGAGTGGCGCAGGCGAGAAACTCTCACATCACTGGGAATGGTGACCCTCTCAATCAACTTGGACTTTAACTTTCAAGTATAGATGAGAAAAGCTTTACCATCCCTTCAGTCTCTTTCCAATAAATCATCTGCGCACTCCCTGCTAAGTGATGATAATTTGATGTATAATTATGGTGATAGTTAAAGTTCTGTATAATAATCCTTATCATACTATCATTGAGTGATTAAGTGTATGTATGTCCATATCCATATCCATAGCCCATTCCCAACTCCGCCCATCATTAATTCCATATCCATACTCCATCATTAATTACTATAGTCCATTACTCCCTCCTCCCCCAGTCGAACCTCCCCGTCCCCTCCGGCTCCTTCCCTGCCGGCTCAGTCTCAATCACCGTCTCCTGAGTCACCGTAATATCACGCATCTTGCCCTTCTTGCCCGTACCCACCAAGCCCTCCTCATCACTTCCATACCCGGCTGTAATGGTGCCTTCGTGAACCGACAACCTTGTGCGAGACTTCTTCGTAGCCGTTTGTGTATTCCCTTCCCGACTGGCCAGCGGATACGACTCGCCCCGTCTCCGACCGTAACTGCCTGTCCCCCCTCTCGCTGAACTGAACAGCACGCTAAGTCCAATTTTGCTTGCTCCCTTGCGAAGCAGAGGTTGTATGATGGGGAGATTGGCCACGACAATGGAGACGAATGTCTCGCGACATGCCCATTGACTTCCTGCGACGGCGCCGTCGGGGCCGGCCTGCGGTCGTTAGTTATTTATTCGATGAATTGTGGGACGATAGTTGGTGAAGCAAAGCGTACCGTGAGGATAGTCACGGCGCGGATAATGCCTGCCATAATGATAAAGGCCGCGCTGCTGAAAAGAGCCATGAGTGTGAGCTTCTGGCGGATACTGATTTTGACGGCCCAGAGGAGCGGAAGTGGGATGGACATGAGGTAGAGATCGGTTATGACGTTGGGGATGACGACGATGAGGACGCTTAGGGTCGATTTGGTCGGTTGGCAGATGTCTAAGGTAGGACGTCTGTTAATGGAATGATCTCAAAGGGTATAGCTGCAGCAACGAGAAGATGAGAAACATACTGCCTGGGTTGGGGTTGATTTGCCAGTTCTTGTGCATGGGCTGACAGCCCAGCACAATGGTCAGACCGACGACCAGATAAGTCACGCCGAGGAGGATGTATGCGAAGCGGACTCGTGCGGGGAGATGGTTCAATCCAGATCTAGACAGTCGTTTAGCTTGGCCGACATGTAATCAGAGCCGATGACATACGTGAGGCGCGAGTAGTAAATGGCGACGCAGAACTTGATCAACCACAGAATCATGGCGTACAACGACCATCCGATGATCTGAATCTTAGATCCCCATTGCCGATCGTAGTACTCTTTCGATGCTGGGTCTACGGCCGCTCGTTGCTCGTCGGTCATGTAGCTGTTCGTGAGACCGTTGAATTTGCTGCGGACAAGATGCGCTGCGACAGTTTCGCCGATAAAGACGGCCTGTGTCGGTTAGGACGGAACGGTCAGAATGTCGGTGTAGAAGACATACACCTGCCAATGGCATCAAATAGTCATCGACGGCAAAGTTGAGGGGCCCGCCGACTTGCGACCAGCGGACATAGATTCGTACGATGATGAAGAGCAGCCCCAATGACAGGAGGGTGAACGCCTCCGTGTCCCCATTAGCCATGGTGAACTGCCAGACTGGATGTACTCAGACAGAGTACAAAGGAGGTGACGCCAGTGCGAGAATTGTGCGCATATTGTCTTTATAACCCATTTCGGGGTCGGTTCTTCTGCAGAATAGAAAGGGGCACACGAGGATGCAAATCATTCATATTCTGGAATGCCAAGGGCATCCATCTAAAAGAGATTTCCTGACCGACACCCAAGGCAATTTTAGAGCGAAATGCTAACTTTAAGTGACAGGCTTTTATTGGCCGTGTGTTGGACATAGGGGTGAAGGTTAGTTCTACCGCGTGCGCTAGAGCCACGATCCGGGGAACGAGACAGCGGCAGCGGCCAAGACGAAGCGGAAGTCAGTCCGGTGAACTCTATCAGTGCCAACGGCATGCTGCTATGAGCACCAGAGTGGATTCTATTTCGTATCTCGGCATCGGGGCAGGCGTTCCAGACACGCTGATCGCGACCCACGCGGCACCGGATTGACGTTTTTATGCCGAAAGAGGTAGCGAGGAGCGACGCACCAAGCCATTGTGGACGATGGCGTTGACGTTGACGTACGAGTTCTCCTGTGATGAAAATCCTCTACGAGGTGAGGAAGCTTATCTTGTCGTCTGGTGTCGACGCTGCGTACGTGTGCTCTTTTCGGAATATGATGGAAACTTTGCGAGTTGCGCTTCAAAGAACTTGAACCCTAAATGTCAATAGCTCGGGATGAGACCGAGACAGCCGCCATGATAAAAACAGAAGCCAATCCCGCTCTCAAGTTTGGGTCGGTCGGGAGGCGCCCCTGATCCATCAATGGTCAGAGCTCATAAACAAGCGGATCTCAGTGGGTCTGAAGCTGCTGAATTCGAGGCAGATGATTTTCGTGAGTCGGATCACGACGGGATGTTGGGAGCAGAGATGGTGGCTGTTGGGTGATCTGCAGCTTAGATTAGTTAATCGCTATCGGACATTGAACGCCGACCTTACTATCCAGCTGCAGAATACGGAGTATGTTCCCTCGAGAGTGAGGAGAAGGTCACAACTGACGATCTTAGGTGTTTTCGGTTCCTCCGCGATCGTTTCGTTCGATTAGGGTGCCACAATATCACCCACACGATCGAATTTTCAACCATGGTTCAAAACTTGGCGGTACCGTAGGTGTGGATAACCAGGGTACTCCGTACACGATAGCGATCTTTTCTAAAAGCGGAGGAGCTTGAAAGGGCAACTTAAGCGTAGCAGCACACAAGAACGCATGGTCAGTGAATTGCATTTCAAACTAAGGACTACGGACAAAGAAGATAGAGACGTTACCGTCCAGTTGAGCACTATCTGGCAGATAGTTTGAGGGAACAAAGAAAACGGAAACGAACGGAGATCGCTGTACTCTTTCAACGACGCTGAATAGAAGCATGATCTACACCTGCAAGGATTTAGCGAACCAACAGCTCGGGACTGATGAGACTAGGAATAAAGGAAAGTAGAGGGGCAGACGGACAGCTGCATTGATCGATGTAGAGGGGCAGGGGTCTCTTCATTTAGGCGAAGTGGATATCTTGGCAGAGGACCACAGTATGACTTGAAAACCAGACATTTACTGCGAGTGCATAAAAACTGACTCGGTACTAATCACGAACTAATCCGTACAAAGGCAAAGCAACCCAGAGATTCGGTACATCATGAATCTGGCCAAGACATACCCAATTTCCGATACCACAGTCTACCCACCTCCTAGCGTGCACAGTAACCAATCCCATACACCTAAATAGCCGCATGCCCATGCGTCTCAAATGGCAACCCAAAGCAGACAAACCCAACAGCAACCCACAACGCAGCACTTGCATATATTGGCGCCGGCGTGAACCCTGTCTGCGAAGCAATCAAACTAGCACAGAGCCCACCAAACCTTAATAAAGAAGCAGCAGTACCGGTACCTGTTCCTCGATGTGGAGCGGGAAAGGATTCCGGCGTGAAGGCGTACATGATTGCGTATTCTGTAACATTATCAGTAAGTGAAAACTTGTAGAGATGAGGGACTGGGGTACACGTACCGAAATTCCCCAACATGCCTGTTATACAAGCGAACGCTAGACTCGACGTTGGATTGCTGACGCCCACATATGCGAAGAGAAAGACGCCCGTGATGATGGACGAAATACCCATCATCCAACGCCGGCCGAAGAAGGTGGTTACGAAATAAGCTGCAGAGAGCGGCCCAACTATGCCGACAGCAGACTCGATGCAGTAGTTTCTGTAAGTAGTGTAAAGGGAGTCGTCCGATGAGAATTTTGTGGCCAGGTAGGACGGCAGAAAGTTGAAGTAGAGGGGATAGGCGATGCCTTCATGCATAGTTAGTTTAAATTTTCCGGTGCGTACAAAGGGGGATGCAGTATTTACCAATCGTCAGCCAAATAAGCCAGATGATACCAGTATGGATACCAAGTTTCCTCGTGGCAAAGAGGGCCTGGTAGTGTGTCGACCGAAAGTCTTTCAAGTTCTCCTTGATGATTTCCTTAGTGGTCAAGCCCGGGCCCTGTGCAGCTGTGTTGGATTCATTGGTAATTCCTAGTCGAGCGTCAATCTCCTGAAACATGCCGATGGTCAGAGGCTCAGGCTTTCCGTTCTGGCGCGCGACGTAGTTGACGGAGTCGACGGCGGCTTGGTCCTTGCCTTTGGAGAGGAGGTAGCGGGGGGTTTCGGGAAGCTTAAAGATGAAGATGCGTATGACGGTAAAGGCGAGGGATAGAGCACCTAGGGTGATTAGGGTGTATCTCCTGCATTTATTAGATGCTTGGTAGCAGCAGATAGGATTCTGACGACATACCATCCCATGTTCTCACTTCGATGACATGTTGCTGGTGTAGAATCGGTTGGACAGCTGTAGTTGGCGAGAAAGACCCAGGCCAAGAGCGACACGATCAGTTGACCCAAGTTCCACCAGGCCGATAGAGCTGTCAGGAGGTACTGGTGACTGGTCGACCCCAATTAGTCTCATTAACATCAACAGACTGAAGGAACACCTACCTCCCAGGAACAAACTCAAGAAAGATCATCGAATCTACCGGGACATTCCCTCCCGCTGCGGTGCCGATGACAGCCCACATGGCGCTAAAGGCCAGAAAGCTTTTAGTGCCAGCTGCACCACACAGAAAGATACCTGCAATCAGGAGGGTCGAGTTGAACGCGGGCTTCCGGCCGATCAAGTCGCTGGAGATACCCCAGAACGAAGCACCAAGAATCAAGCCTGTATAGTAGGCCACCGAACTGTAGCTGACCTGGACGATGCCGGGGAACTCGAGTTCAATAGGCGGTTGAACGCTGCTGATACCTTGTGATGCAAACTATGTCTCTGTTGTTAGTGGTAGCAATCCCTAATAGTGGAATAGCGACACGAACGTTATCCACGATCCACCCAAACCCCGTTACGACAAAGAGCTTCCATTGAAATCTGCACTCATCAATATTCAATTCCTACCTTACCACCATGATGAAGAGAAGAACGCACCTTCCCATCCCAATCTCCTCCATACACTTTCCTACCAACTCCGACTTCAGCCGATATGCTTCCGTGGTCGACGAGCCATAGAACTGCTGCACATCCGGGTCATCCAGTATGACTCCCTTCTCCTCACCCACAATACTGTTAACATATTGCTGAGCCGGGTCAGACTTCTTCTCCTGCTGTATGCTGTCCATTTTGATGAATTGGTGTGCATTGTTGTGAGCATGATGGCATAAGACTGGCGATCAAATAAGATTCGACATAGGTAGGATTAGGGTTGCTGTACGGGTGCCTAGACCAGTTCCTGCTTGCTGACGCAGCTGTTTCCGGCTACTTACACGACATCAATAGTATCTTATCGATTGTCAAGGGTGGGGGATCGCTATCTGTGCCAGCTCGTGTGGCTGCCGTTTAGACCTCCACCTCCACTTCTGAGTCTGGGTATGACCACTGGTTATCGAGGATTGGTAATCAATTAAGGCGTTAACATTTGGTATCAACGACAAATTAGGTTTATTCTTTCTTTGAATTTGTGATACTACGAGGCATAATGTCATCAGTATAGATGGTGGTGTGGTCAAAAAGAAAATCATAATTCATTGGCATAGAAGCAGGCAAGCTATGGACAAATATACAATAACCACTACATGAATTTCAGGCACCCACCGCTGCTGTAGCCGGCGTCGTCTCCATCTTCAGCTTCGCCTTCTCCTCCATCTCCTTTTTATACTGCTCCGCCCGTCCGTAGCTCTCCTTATACGAAGCCGTCACCATGTCCTCAACGGTGATAGGTGGATACTTTGGTGCCTCTCCCTCCGCGCGGCAGTTGGGCAGACACTCGCACAGGTAATCAGGGTTTCCACTGAAGAAGAACGGAATCGAGTATCGCTCGCGGCCAGACTTGTTGATGACGCGGTGAATGTTGGATTTGTACCGGTCGTTGGCCATGCGCATGAACAGGTTGCCGAGATTGACAACGTAGGCACCAGGAACTGGTTGAACCTGCATCGTAGATCTGTTAGATGACGCCCATTTGACAATAAAACAGGGAAGTGGCACTCACATCAAGCCACTGGCCAGTAGGTGCATCCAGAACCTGCAATCCATCCACCTCATCCTGCAGAAGCAGCGTGATGCATCCGAAATCGGTATGTGCGCCAATACCTCGGTTTAGCTTCTCATCTGCATCCTTAGGTTGCGCAGGGTAATGCAGCATGCGCATGGTTGCGACTGCACCGTCGGTGAGTGGGTCGAAGTAATCCTCATTTACATCCAAAGTCAAAGCCAGAAGAGACAGTACGTCCTTGGCCAAGTCAAATACCGCATTGTAGTATTCCATCGATGTGCGTTGGAAATCTTCCTTATCGGGCACGGTCGGTGGCCACTGGTTCGGACCGCTGTTGAGCTTCTTCTGAATGTAGTAGGGATGATCTTCGGGGATTTCCTGGCCGATGTACAAGCCTTCTTTGAGTTCGGGGCCGGTGCCTACTTCGAGCATCTGCGAGCGGAGGAGTTCATAGCCGCGGTTGAAACTGTTGTTGTCTGAATTCCAAATCTTGGTTAGTGGCGAAAAGAATGGAGTATAAAATGAGGTGGGTACTCTTATCGATCTTGAGCTTCTCTTCTAGCGGGAGGTCGAATAATCGCTCGGCACAGCGCATAACGCGACGCTGTAGGTCGAGTGGCACGCGATGACCGGTGATCTGGAAGAAGCCATTGTAGAGGCAGCAGTTGCGGACGGCCTCAACCAGCTGGGCCTTGGCCTCGCTGTCGCCTCCGTAGAAGGGGGAGAAATCAAGAATTGGGGGAGCGCTGGGAGTCATTGTGTCGTTGCCTACTGTTGTTGGTTGTTGCTGATGCTATTCAGGTATCTCAGGTGAATATATCCAGCATCAGTGGGCTGTAATGATCCATAATCTGAGCGCAATCTCGGACAGAAGACCGAGGGGCCTGCTTATTCCCTCCATTTTCGGGGTCTGGTATAGACAAGAGTGGGGGTAGGATGGGGCGACGATAAAGCTTGCAAAGGTCGGGTGATAAGAATGCGGAGAAGCTGAGAGATGGCGTAGATGGCCACTTCTTGCCACTTATCTCTCGGGATTCTGAAGCTGCAGCTCGATAACCCCAGATCGGCACGGGTAGCCTAATCGGGCAATGCCTGTGTCTCCTTGCAGGTTACACAGATAGCAGACAATGCCATTGGTATATAGAATGCAGCCAGCTGGCAGCTGATCAGATTTGCAGTGAGGGTTGTTCGCATTTCATTCTCGTAATGGCTTTCACCGATACTGTCGAGAAGGAGGCCATTTCGGCCGAGCCTGCGATGAAGTCTGGGGAGAGTAGTATCTACATCGACCGTGATGCGGAACGGTCGTATGGTGAGTGAGAAGAATTACTTCTTGCTGCGGATACTAATTGTTGCAGTGCGGAAGGTGGACTTTTTCGTCCTGCCACTCCTCTGTTTGGTGAGCATGGTGTCCGAGTCGGCGACCAGCTACTGACTGTGTAGATGTACTTTTTTGACTGCATGGACCGCGTATGTAGTATCTTCTTGTAGTTACCTGGTCACTGCTAATAGAATCAGAGTAACCTGGCAAACGCTAAAACTGATGGTCTAGACGAGGATATTCACCTGGTCGGGAATGACTACTCGTTGATGGTGCTATTATTCTACATCCCCTTCGGGTTGTGTGACTTGCCATGGAATCTGCTGCTGAAGCGCTACTCCGGACGCTATGTGCTGTCTTTCAGTAGGTTATACTTTTGTATCATTTGAACCTGGCTAATTTGTCAGTGACTGTGGTCTGGGGAATCCTCGCTCTCTGCCAATGTGCTGTGAAAGACTTTGGTGGTATGATTGCTGTTCGAATGATCCTAGGGTGAGTCTCCTGCCATCAACTACATCGCGATCTAACAGCGGCAGAGTGTTCGAGGCAGGTTTCTTTGCTGGGGCGACATTTTATATGACCCTCTTTTACACGCGAGGCGAGATGGGCTTCCGGCTGGCCATCATGCAGTCCTTTGCGGTGCTCGCATCCGCCTTCAGCGGACTCATCTCTTTCGGCGTATTTCAGATCCACGATCCAGCTGTCAAAGGCTGGCAATGGCTGTTCATCATTGAAGGTTCAATGACCTTCCTCATGGGAATCATGTCGTTCTTTTGGTTGCCCGGCAATCCACGTACTGCATGGTTTCTCAACGAGCGTGAACGGGCTGCGGCAACGGCACGGTTACTGCGCGACACCTCGGCCGAGGTGGACACCAAACTGGATCTGAAGGTTGCATTCGAGACATGGAAGGACTGGAAGTTCCCCATCTGGTGCATTATCACGTTCACTTATCCGGTGGCATATGCGACCGCGATGAATTTCTTCCCGTTGGTAGGACATGACCTCGCTGACTGCAAGAGAAGAAGCTAACAGAACAGATTGTCGAACGACTGGGCTTCTCAACCGTCAAAACAAACCTCTGGACGGTCGCTCCGAATCTTGTAGGCGCGGTAGTGCTTCTCTGTGTGGCTAAGTCGTCGGATCACTTCCGCGAGCGAACATTCCACATTGTGTTCTCGCTGGTGATATCCCTAGTCGGGATGGTCATCCTGGCGACAATCGATGTCTTGAGTCATAAGGGAGTCGCATATTTCGCCTGTTTCCTGATGGCAGCCGGGTCGTATATCCCATCGTGTCTGGTGCATGCATGGCATAACAACAACAATATGCACGAGAACTCGCGTGCTGCCAACACGGGTTTCTTTGTAGGGTTGGGCAATTTGGCGGGAATCTTAAGCGCGGCGACGTTTCGCACGCAATATGCTCCGAAGTAAGTAGCCTGACTACCTGGACCATAAAGACGGACTAACGGTGTAGGTATATTCCCACGTTGGTAGCCACATGCTGCTGCAACGGGGTGTGCATTGTGGTGGTGATCGCATTGGGGTTGTGGATGCGACGGGAGAACAGGCGACGCGATCGCCAACAAGGCCGAAGAGTGCGTCCGGGAGAAGTGGATACACGTCAGTTGGCAGAGGGAGAAAAGAGCCCGGATTGGCGGTACTTTCTGTAAGGTTAAAGATCTAGATAGGCCTATCTCGATTGGTGTAATTTCATTGATAGCTCCGGGATGGCATTCCTGAATTAATAATAACGGACTAGTTAGCGATAAGTGAAACCTTGTCCCCGCAGAAGGTCATTCGTCGATATGCATCTTCAATCCGCATTCCTGCTTCTCCTCTTTTCCCCTTCAGCTTATCACCGGCTTCGGCGTATCCGACCCGCAGATAAATGAGGTCTTATCCCCGGGATGTGAGTCCCTGCATGTATTCTTCTCCTGTATCGCTATATCATGACCCCCCATGAAGTCCCACGTGTGCCACTGGCCCAACTGCGGCAAGACCTTTACTCGCGCAGAGCACCTGCGTCGCCATGCCCTCAATCATGACCAGGCAAGACAAGGCTATACCTGTGAGCGATGCTCCGTGCATTTCCACCGCCCGGATCTACTGAGTAGGTGCTGCGCTACTGCAAGATATCTCGACTCCGTGTCTGACCCGCCAGATCGCCATCTCATGCGCCATGCCAAACGTGATGAGGAAGCTGGAGGCCCTGGCCAAGGAGTGCTGGAGACGAGGAAACGCACTCGCCGTGCGGGAGATGGCTCCATCATTACTCGCCCTCCGAAGCGTCAGTCCCGCGCTCGTGCCAGCCACAGCTTGCCTCCATCGTCATCGGCCTCTTCATCGTCCATTTCCGTTACCAGCGCCCAAGACTACGGTGCCCCTGTGTCGCCTCCGACGTCGGCGAGCGACCCATCGTCCATGTCGTTGGACGAGCCCGATCCGCTACTGGCTCCGATGATGCCCAGCGGGCCATTCGAGCCCTATGTCGAGCCCATCCCGGGGCAGTTTGATGCGGCAGATGGCTCCTGGAGTCTGGGACTGGATGGAATGGGCGATTTCTTCAGCCTTGATACTGGTACATCCTCCCAGACCATTTTTAATCGCACTCCAGCTGACCAAATAGCCACCGACTTCAACATGCCCTTTGCGGCCACCCATAACTACAACTGGTTGTTCGACGTCGCCTCACTGGACGACGCATTCCCTCCCTTTGACCTCCCACTAGGTCCAGACATGGTCACCTTTGCCGAGGATGCCCTTCCCATCGATGATCCAAAATCATATCTCGACCGTGACGGTTCCTCCGTCCTCCTCCAAGCAGCCTCCTTTGTCGAACGCAGCGACCCGCTCGTCTTCTCGGCGCCCATCCTCGACCCCCAACCCGACACTATCAACCTCGACTGGATGGACGCACCCTCCCTCCTCCAAACCACCCCCCAACCCCACCTCCCCATCCTCACCGAAGAAGCCCGTCAAGGTATTCTCAACCTCATCGCCCAAGCCCCACCCCTGACCATCGACGGCCAACCCACCCCACTCGACTCCCCACTCCTATCCCTCCCCTCCCTCCAATCCTACAGTGACCTCTTCTTCACGCGCTTCAACACAACCTACCCCCTCCTGCACCAACCCACCTTCTGCCCATCCACCACCACCCCGGTCCTCCTCGCCGCCATCCTCTCCATGGGCGCCACCTACAGCAGCCGCGAAGCGCACCAACTCGCCGTAGGCATCCACGACTCCCTGCGGAACCAACTCTTCTGCCACGCCGACTTCTCCCCGCAGCCAGACCTCTGGGTCCTACAAGCCATGCTCCTAATCGACTGCTTCGGGAAGATGCGCGCGGGCCCGAAACAGCGCGAACGCGCCCAGCTCTTCCACTGCGTCTTGATCAAGCTCATCCGGCGGAGTGACTGCTGCGCTATTCGCCACACACCCAACCCCACCACTGCGACTACAGATACAGATATCGACACCCTCTGGCGTACCGCCATGCACGACGAGCAGAAAAAGCGCGTCGCACTGCACTGCTTCATGTGGGATACCCAGCACGCAGTCCTCTTCTCCCAGTCCCTGTGCATGTCCGCATTTGAAATCAGATCCGCGCTGCCCTGTTCCCAGAGCTCATGGGAAGCGTGCACGGCGAGTGACTGGGCGCATCATGCATCTATGGAACCTCCCCCGAGGATGTTCCTCTCTGTGCTGAAGGGGTACATCACCCCGTCTGCGATGGCCCGGCCACGTGATCTGAATACCCTCGCTAGGATCGTCGTCCTGCACGGACTCATGTCCGTTTCAGCGGACTTGAAGAGACGGGACCAGACGACGTTACGCGCTGAGACGCCCGAGCGAGTCGGTGCGTGGACACGTCGCATGGGGAGGTCGTATGATCTATGGAAAGTGGACTTTGATGCGGATTGCCTGGCAATGAAGTTGAACTTCGGACAACATCCCGGGGAGGGTGTCGCTGGGTCAAGACGAGGTGGAGCGGGAGGGGTGTTCACAGGGCTGAAGATGGCGGCGTGTGCGTTGTATCGTGCAGCGTGGTTGGCGCTGCAGGTAGAGATACTCGACTTGCAGGTTGCTGCTGGGGCGGGGAGGATCCTGGGGAGGACAGTGACGGAGGGGGATCGGGAGAGGTCGCGACGGGGGTTGAGGAAGTGGTTACTTGGTGGTGGGGAGGGAGCACTAGGGGCTGCGAGACAGGCGGCGAAGTTGTTGGAAGAGGCGGTGCTGAGTCTGCATGATTGGGAGCAGACGGATGCGTTTCATTTCCCGTGGTGTTTGTATTTGGCGACGTTGACTTGTTGGGCGTTTCATGGTGGGGTGAATGGAGAGGGTGACGGTGGTGGCAGTAGTAGTGGGGAGAGAGTCACGACGGATCTGGCGAGTTTGATAGTGGCCATGACGACGTGTGGCAGTTTGGGAGATATGGCGGCGCTCGGGGGAAAGTATGATACGAGGGGGTTGGTGAGGACGATGGCGCAGCAGTTGGCGACGGTGAGGTGGGCGGTGGTGCATGATGCGATGAAAGTGTTGGTGAATCTGGGAAATTGATTGTGGTTCTCTTGTCTATATGTGATGTCAAATATATGTATGTAGGTCAACTATTCAAGCTTAAACCCTTGCTTCTCGATAACCTTCCGAATGTTCACCCACCCTCCCTGAGCTTGCGATGCAACCCTGCCCGCAACGAACTCGCCCCAGGCCTTCCTCCCAAGCTTTGACTCTTCTTCATAGAACGTCCCCAGTGCCTTATCATACGATGCAACATTATCCTTCTGCCCCTCGTCGTTCCACCGCTCCATATGAAGTACCTCTCGCATCGGCAAACGCGGTTTGATCCGCCTACCAGAGCGCCTGTTCTCTGTATCCGGATACCCAACGGCCATTCCAAACACGCCCCACGTCAACGGCGGCAGGTCCAGCAGTTTACAGACCTCATCTGCATTGTGCCTGAGCGCACCCACATAGCAGATTCCCAGACCTAGTGATTCAGCCGCAATGGCAACGTTCTGCGCCGCAATGGCTGAATCCACCGTGCTCATGATGAACATATTCATGTTATCCAACACCGGGGAATCCTGGTGACCATACTGCTCTGACAGGTTCTTGAGACGGCGCAGGTTCGGGCAGAATACCAGAAACAACGGAGCTTGGCGGATGAAGTCTTGGTCGGCTGCCAGCGTTGCGATGTTGGATTTATGCTCCGGGTCTTGGATGGCGATGACGTCCCATGTCTGGAGGAGGGAGGTCGAGCCGCTTTGAGCTGCTGTGATGAGAGTTTCTAGTGTTCCTTCGGGGAGCTTGAAAGGGAGGAATGCACGGCAGGATCGGTGGAAGAGGATTGTTGATAGGGCACTGGGGAGAGCGTTCGAGGGGTCGGTTGGGAGAGGGAAGGTGGAGGATTCTGAATCGCGGTAGCGCGCTTCGGCGAGGGGTGAGATTGTCTTGGTCATTTTGAGGATTTTTGTAAGATACTTCGTAAAGAGGGTACAATAACAGGGAGGAATGTGGTAATATGCCCATTCTTATAGAGCTTTGGGTAAACCCCTGCAGTGTCTTTCACACTGTGGATACTATGCTTGCAGATGCTGTGGGGAGGGCGCAAATATCCGTGATTGGTGGGTTGTTGTTATGTGGGCCTATTGGACCAATTTTTACCCAATCACAACACAATATCTTCGAAATTCGGTCCATTGGCTCAAGGCTGTCGATTGATGGTCTCAAAGAGCTGCGAATCACGGTCTTGTTCGCATAGATAATTTCTGAGGTTGAAATCACCCCTGGTCCAGCAGAAGCTGGAGTCCAATAAGACTGACTTGTGGTTTTTCCGGTGCAGGACTGACGGCTGTCCAGACTTTGTCTAATTTCCTCTGTACCCAAGCTGCATGTCCACCTAGCTTTGCAGCAGATATCGAGGCGATAACCTCTCGGACAACTTCCCTCTCCTCGAGCCTTACGGAAACAGCCCCGAGAATAGCCACGGGCCATAGCAGATAAATTGGCGGGTAAATGTCTATCTCCAACGCAGGTACCCTGTGTAAACCCCCTGCTAGACACGATTGCATTCGCTGGGTTCGCTGGCTGGAGGTAATGTTTGGATTCACCTTTTGGAGTAGAATCTGAAGTGCTAGGTAGCATAGCGCGAGAGACATGTCGGTTGAACAGATGAGGTGACTCCAGCGCGACGATTCACAATCTAGACTTCGCCACTTCGTCACTTCCGCGCTATCAAGCGGTCTTGATAGCCGAGACAATTTCGTCACGTCCGCAATAAGAAGAAAGAACTTGTAAGAGGCCTGCAGAATAGTCTGTTCAGAGGCAGAGGCTGGGCTTGTAGGCTTATCAAAATAAAGAGGGAGCCCCAGCTGCTTCCGATCCTCTGGGAGCGCATCAAGTGACGGGTCAAATATCATCATGAGGCATGCTTGGTATAAGAAGGACTCGACGCAGATGCGATCAAACGTGGCCGCAGCCTTAGTACGATATTCGCATGGTCGGCGTTGGGTAAGTAGGAGGCCCGCAGCTTTGACATGCGGCGCGACAGTGGGTATGGCATCGGATCGGCAGGACTACAGTGGTATAGGTTAGCTTGCTTACATGAAAATTTAAATAATCAGATACATGCCTCGAAACAGGCGAGCAGGGACACAGTTGCCAGAATCCGATCGTCACAGCCAGCTTTCGTAATATCAGTTAGTGACATCTGAATGGCATGGATCGCATGCAGATAGCTCTGAAGGGCAAGGTGGGCCGGCCACCGGTCTTTCGTCGGCAACTGCATTCCGGCCACAGCGACCATTGCCCCAAAAAGAGGAGAGAATTGGGGCGCGAGGCGAAGCATGTGTGTTTTGTCTACCGAGTTGCGTTGTACAAAACGGGGTAAGATCGTGGAGGCAAAATATCGATATAGGTAGGTGCACTCGGATGATGAGAATGGTGCCGGCATCATGATGAGTGGAGGGAGTTGCATTAGCGATACTCCTGATGGCGCTACTGCGCGCATAATGGTTTTCGTACCCCGGGAATGCCGGGATCTGCCATCTGGAAGCTGATTATCCTCCGAGGGCCAGTTGCAGTCCAGTGAGTTTCGAATGCATGCGCTGCAATGCGGATGAGTCTCGTCGCATTTCTTGCGACGCTTTCGACCTATATATAGTTGGTGAACAAGAGCCGATTTTAGCATGCAAAGAACCTGGCTTACATGGGAAGCAGCCAGTTCGGGTTCGCAGTGTGGCGGGAGGCATTATAGCGTATGGTGCAAGTTACACTGTGTAGCGTCCATTCAACCTTCAAATAGGTCTTGGAGTTAGGCTGAATATGTGATTTTGTGATTTCCTTGGATGTCAAATGACTGTGTTATCACAATTACTGTTGAGTCTGAAAGGAGCAGAGGAAATTATTTTGGAGATTGGTAGCTCAAAGGATGGTTGCGAAGGATATTAGTAATCCGAACATATCCATGGCTTCTGTTCGCTGCTTCGGACATTAAAGTTTAAAGAAGCTCAGGCGTCCTTCGGCAGAAAGGGCCATCGTTTCGCGGCTTCTTCCGCCGAGATTTCCTCGCTCATTGTGTCGATGAACATATTATACAGATATTTGTTCATTTCATTCACCGATTCCCAGTCTTCGGAATGGATCCATCCACTATTATCAGTGCCAAGCTGTTCCTTGATAAGATCCCACAGAGACAAGCTATCTTCGTAGAATTGAACTTGTTCGTCATGTCGCTTCAATTCCTCTTCATTAAATTGGAATGGGGAGCTACCCGAAAGCCCCAAGAGCTCCCAGTTCTCAGCAATACGGATTAAAGAGTTCCGTAGTGGGACTAAGGACCCATTCGAAGGAAGCTGGCAACGCGTGAAAGGTTCCCAAAGGCATTGGTCCAAGGCAATTGCATTGAAAACTGGCTTGTTGTGTGCGCGGCACGATATTTCATAGTACTTGGATTGGATCGCTAATGTATGCTCTGCCTTGGCCGATTCCTTTTCATCTGGACCCAGCTCATCAAAATTGTCTGGTAACTTGGGAACATTGGTTCCCGAACGGTAACCTTTTGGCGGTCGAAGAAACTCTGGAAACCGAGCCTGGATAATTAGAGGTGCTGCTTCGGCTGACTGCCAATCGATTATGCCTTCTATTGTCGTGGGGTCGTCTGGACAGACGAATATGTTTCCGAGGTGCAAGTCAGTGTGCCAGACTGCCGACGCTGCCGATTCTTGAACACGTGGATGTTGCGACAGTGCTGGCAATATGAGTTGCATCTTTTGTAAGAGATCGCTGTACTCTTCGATAGACTGATTGTTGCCAAACCTATTCAAGTCGGTATATACATCATCACCTTTTGCTACAATTCGAGCCAATTCTCGACGTGGTGCAGAGAGCGCGAACTCCAAAAGTGATGTCCCTTGACATTATCAGAACCTACGGAAGTATGAGGATATGGAGTACTCACATGGCCCAGAATCTTTCCTAATTGCGCCAACAGATGCAGTGGAAGATAGATCGACTGACGGACCCATACAGAACTGCTTGTTCGGGTCCAAACCTGGAGGAAGATGGCAGCGCGGGTAGCTGGATGGCAAAGACTCCTGCAGGAAGAGACCTCCATATGCGGGCAATTGTAACCTTTGGAGCGCCTTCTCCATTTCCAAAATTTTATCGATTAATTGATACCGCTGCAATGTGTTCAAGGTACTCCATTTCTCTGCTAGTGGTACTCCGCGAGTCTTTTCCATTAAAATATACTCAGCACCTACGGGGTTCGTTGGATCTGAAGACCACTGGTAGACTTCAGGAACTGGAGTTGATATATGAGAACGCACTAGACAACACAATTAGAAATTCAAGGTCTGACTGATACCCACCATAGAGAGCATACAAAACTTCAATGTCGCCACTTCGCACTCGGTTGTCAGTACCGGCGGACCAGCGTTTGGGCAAGGAATCTTTGCTATGACTTCGTTGCCATCCTCCATCGTGAGAAGGAAAGCCTTGCTGAAGTTCCCTTCCAATTTGGCGATGCGCATACATCTTGTTTCAGAACTGAATAGCGATGCAGCTTGCGAGCAGAGGTTATCGATGTTGAATCTTACATATCGTTGCTCAAGTTGGTGTTTTTCATCTACCAGCCATCTCCCGGAAGTGTATCTGAAGAAATCCTGTTCATTGTCTGCCAATCGCTACTTAGTGAGTCCCGAGAGAATTGGGTCATGTTTAACCCACGGCGTCGGTCAATTGCTCTCCCTGCATGAGGCACTGCGGTCTGAAAAGTGCGATTGATGAACAAATTGTATCGAGCAGCGCAATCCATGCTGATGCCACATGGCCGATATGATAGACGACAGTTTAATCGTACCTTCCACATAATTTACCGCAGCAGGGCCATTTGTTATGCGTTTGCTTGAGACCCTTGATGGATACGGAAACTCAGAAGGGGGAGGCATATGGTGACTCCTTGCTTTGATCGGCATGCAATCACGTGCCGAGGAGGGACAATGCAGGTATTGTGAATTTTTAGACGACAACTAAGCTTCCAGAGGTTTTGTTTTAAGGTCGCTTGCTACTAAACAATGTTTTTTTTATTATTAGGAGTAACTTCTATTCGCGTGTCAGCGTAACACTTATATTGGTCATTCAAGCTTTGACAGCAGTAATTTCTGACGATGAAGATCTATGATGCTACTAAAGGTCACAATATATTTTCTTTTATTTTGTGGTCACCCAGTATCCTCCAGGCCGTCTTGAACCTTTTCTTGGAATGATATTAACATACTTGACATATACTAGTTTCTAATGATAGTGCCAGGCCTACTCTGTCAATTTATTTTATAGCAGGCTGATTAATGCAGAATGTCTCACTCATTCATCTATCTATAAGTTGTATTATACACTCAATGCCGGATAATCCGTATAACCCTTCTCCTTCGGGTCAGCTCCGTAAAATGTTGCCCGGTCATACTTATTCAATTGTGCACCTTCCATCAACCTCTTAGGTAGATCGGGGTTTGCAATAAACCACCTTCCAAAAGCCACCGCATCAGCCCCGTCCTCAACGACCTTCTGCTTTGCTCCCTCACCATCAAAGTTCCCAGCCGCAATGAACCCAATTCCAGCCTGCTTGAAGATGGTTCTGAACGGATCCAAACTGACCTTGCCCTTACCAGGCAACGAACCCATCTTGGCCCCCTCGTCCAACACCTCATCAAATCGTGGCTCGATCATATGCGCGTATGCAATCTCAGGGGCCTCTCTGGCAATCATTTGACAGATAACCTGCCAGTTATCCTGAGGATTTGAGTCTCTCGTATCTTGGAAATAGTTATACGGCGACAAGCGCACGCCAACTTTATCCGCACCAACAGCATCACACACAGCCTTGATCGCCTCGATGACGATTCTCGCTCTCTTCTCTACGGTCCCTCCGTACTCGTCTGTACGAGTGTTGACATTGTCGTGCAGGAACTGGTCGAGCAAGTATCCATTCGCAGCATGGACCTCCACTCCATCGAAGCCGGCTTCGATGGCACGGGTTGCGGCAGCGGCGTACTCTGCCACAGTGTCCTGAATTTCAGGGATGGTCATCGCACGGGGCGGAGTAGCCGCGTATGGCTCCCCGGTGAGTGCATTCCCGGTCATGGGAATGTCGCTGGATGAGAGAGGGGTTTGGCCCTCGATAAAGGCCGGTACTGTTGCGCGTCCGACGTGCCATAGTTGGCAGACGATGAGGCCGCCTTTGGCGTGGACGGCGGAGGTAACATCTTTCCAAGCGTTTATTTGGGAGGGGGTGAATATTCCAGGAACACCAGGGTAGCCTGCTGCCTGTGGAGAAAAATATTAGAGAAGTGCAAAAAGGAGTAACGCTGGTAGACATACATGGCGGCTGATGGGGGTTGCTTCGGTGAGTTGGAGACCACCCGGTGATGCTCTTTGGCTATAGTATTCGGTCATAAGGGCGTTTGGGACATATACGCCCTCTGATTCTTGAGTAGCGCGCATCCGCGTGCATGGGGCTTGTACGACGCGATGAGAGAGGGAGAGAGACCCCAGTTTGAGGGGGTGGAAGAGGTTGTCGATTGGAGTGATAGAACCCATTTTGCAATATGATCTATGTGATTCTCTGAATTGGTTGTTACTTGGCTATAGAATGGGTATAGCTATGGTACATATAGGATGGCTGTAGACAGCAAATGCAAATTCTCTGCGTGCATGCCCTCCATCTTTGGATACTTCCTCACATCCACTCTTGACTGAACTGACGAGATCTGTCCAGATGGGGTGATTTAGATGAGTGGAGCAATGTTGCAGATAATTAATCTGTTGTCTGATAGTCGGGCCACCCGACAAGCCAACCATAACCACTGGAAGTAATCCGATCGGCAACCCCCACCCTTGGAATGAAGCCCTCCACTCCCGACAAGTCTGGATCTCCACTCCACTTCAAGCAGCGTTGCAGCTCCGATGCAGCTCTGACGCAGTGGCGCTTCTTCACAGGCTCGTCTTCTGCTTCGCTTCTGCAATGCCAGCTCAACCCCTCAACTCTGGGTAAGAAGAATGGGGCCTAATGGATGCCCTTCAGGCCCAGCTGCACGTGCACTGTAGTGCCCCTCGCAATGCAATTTTCATCCCTTGAACCTCTCCCACAATGTGCTTGCCATTGTTCTCTCATTCTCTTCTCCTTATCTGCATTGTAATTATGCCATTCTAGCAACATCATGGTTCTTCCTACCGCACTGCAAGACTTCCTCACCACCGCTCCCTCCACCCCTAATCTCTCCTTCTACCTCAACGGCACCCCCATCGTCCTCGCCAACCCTAACCCCCACTGGACCCTCCTCGACTTCATCCGCTCCCAACATGGCCTGAAGGGCACCAAGCTGGGCTGCGGCGAAGGTGGGTGCGGTGCTTGCACGGTCGTGCTGCAGACCCGCGACGGGCGCGCCCAGATTCGCCATCGCGCCGTTAACGCCTGTTTGTATCCGCTGATTGGAGGTACGTGTGTTGGTTCCATGGGTGCGACCGCATCTGACAGCCGCAGTGGCCGGAAAGCATGTCATCACTGTTGAAGGACTGGGGAACGTGGATCATCCCCATCCGCTTCAGGAAAGGCTGGGGAAGCTCCATGGGTCGCAGTAAGTTGACCGTGGTCTGATGTATGAGCAATGCTGATAGGATAGATGTGGTTTCTGTACCCCGGGTATAGTTATGTCGCTATATGCGCTCGTGCGAAATGCATACGATCCCAAGACTGGACAATTCAATCTGACAGAGGATGATATTGAGATGAAGGGCCACCTGGATGGCAATCTGTGTCGGTGCACCGGATACAAGCCCATTTTGCAGGCAGCCAAGACGTTTGTCCAGGAGGATCTCCAGGCCCGGCTGGCTGTGCGCACGCGACCTTCAGAAATGGAAACTCCGATTGAGTCTGAATCGGATACATCGCGGCCGCAGTCCTGCGGACGTCCAGGTGGATGTTGTCGTGATACTCCGGGGTCGTCTTGCTCGTCTTCTTCGGATCGAGACAGCTCGCGCACCAGTATTTCGACCCCGGATACAGAACCAGAGAAGGACCTGGCTAACAGCACCGTACCACAATTCGACTTCAAGCCGTACATTCCGAACACCGAGCTTATTTACCCTCCTGCCTTGACCAAGGCTACCCCTCAGCTCGTCTGCTACACCGACGACCGGAAGGCCTGGTTGCGCCCGGTGACACTCGCCCAAACCTTGGACATTCTCGCCCGCTGCCCATCGGCCACTCTTGTTGGTGGTGCCAGTGAGGTCCAAGTCGACATTCGCTTCAAGGGCGCCGAGTTCGCCGTATCTGTCTTCATTGGTGATCTGGACGAATTGTCATACATCAAACCCGTTGAGAAAGACGGCACCATCACGGAACTCATCATCGGCGGCAACACGCCGCTCAGCGACATCGAAGCCGAATGCAACCGATTGATCCCAGACCTAGGGGATCGAGGCTCTGTCCTCTCAGCCACGTCCAAAGTCTTGCGCTACTTTGCAGGACGCCAGATCCGCAACGCGGCTTCACTAGCCGGAAACATCGCCACGGCGTCGCCCATCTCGGACATGAACCCAGTGCTCCTAGCCATCAACGCCACCATCGTCGCGCGCACCCCAACCCAGGAAACCACTATCCCCATGACCAACATGTTCCTAGGCTACCGCAAGACCGCCCTCCCCAAAGACAGCATCATCACCTCGATCCGCATTCCCCTCCCAACGCCGGGGACCCACGAACTCACCAAGTCCTACAAACAAGCCAAGCGCAAAGACGACGATATCGCCATCGTGACCGCCGCCTTCCGCGTGCGCCTCGCCCCAGACAACACCGTAAGCGAAATCGCCCTTGCCTACGGCGGCATGGCGCCGACAACCCTCCTAGCCAGACAGGCCATGGCCGCCCTACAGGGCAAGAAATGGGGCGTGCAAGCCGTTCTAGACAGCACGATCGATGCCCTCCTCGAGGACTTCAATCTCCCTTATTCTGTTCCTGGCGGAATGGCACACTACCGGCGTACACTAGCCACATCCCTCTTCTTCCGCTTCTGGCACGAAGTCATCTCCGACCTCAACCTCACCTCCACAGCCGCTGACCCATCCCTCACGACCGAAATTCACCGCAACATCTCTCACGGCACGCGCGACAACCACAACCCGCACGAACAACGTGTAGTCGGAAAACAGCTCCCTCATCTATCCGGTCTGAAGCACGCCACTGGCGAAGCCGAATACGTCGACGACATGCCCCCGCAACATCGGGAACTCTTCGGCGCGATGGTGTTATCGCAGCGCGCCCATGCCAAGCTCCTCTCCGTGGACTGGACGCCCGCGTTGCAGCCGGGCTTGGCCCTGGGATACATAGACCATACCAGTATCCCGGCGGAGAAGAACATCTGGGGACCAGTGGTGAAGAACGAGCAGTTCTTCGCGGTGGACGAGGTGATGTCGCACGGGCAGCCGATTGGACTGGTGTATGCGGAGACGGCACTGCAGGCGCAGATGGCGGCGAGGGCAGTGAAGGTGGAGTACGAGGATCTAGAGACGATACTTACGATCGATGAGGCGATTGAGAAGGGCAGTTTCTGGCCTCATGGGAAGCAATTGAGGAAAGGGGTGGCTGTGACGCCGGAGAAGATGAAGGATGTTTTCGACAAATGTGATCGGGTCTTCGAAGGAGTTATCCGAATGGGCGGACAGGAGCACTTCTACCTCGAGACGAATGCCGCGGTCGTGATTCCTCATTCGGAGGACGGGAGTATGGAGGTTTGGTCGTCGACGCAGAATACGTATGTCCTTCCCTCTACCTATCACGGGATAATGCTAATGGTGGAATAGGATGGAAACCCAAGAATACGTCAGCCAAGTGACCTCCGTCCCAGCATCACGCATCAACGCGCGAGTAAAGCGCATGGGCGGTGCCTTTGGCGGCAAGGAATCCCGAAGCGTGCAACTCGCCTGTCTATTAGCCATCGCAGCTAAGAAGACCAAGCGCCCGATGCGCGCCATGCTCAACCGCGACGAAGACATGATGACCTCTGGCCAGCGACACCCCTTCCAATGTCGCTGGAAGGTTGGTGTCATGAACGACGGGAAGCTAGTCGCCCTCGACGCAGACGTCTACAACAACGCGGGCTTCTCTCTGGACATGAGCGGTGCCGTGATGGACCGGTGCTGCACGCACATCGAGAATTGCTACTACTTCCCACATGCGCATATCCGTGGATGGGTCTGCAAGACGAACACGCATAGTAATACTGCATTCCGTGGATTCGGTGGGCCACAGGCCATGTTCATTGCGGAGAGTTATATGTCTGCTGTTGCGGAGGGGTTGGGGATGGACATTGATGAGTTGCGGATGAGGAATCTGTATACTCAAGGACAGAGAACGCCGTTCCTGCAGGAGATCGACCAGGACTGGCACGTTCCTATGCTGCTGGAACAGGTTAAGAAGGAGGCGCGCTACGCGGAACGCAAGGCTGAGATAGCAGAGTTCAATAAACGCCACCGCTACAGAAAGCGAGGGATATCTATGATCCCAACAAAATTCGGCATCTCCTTCGCCACGGCAGTTCATCTCAACCAAGCGGGCGCTAACGTGAAAATCTACACCGATGGCTCGGTACTTCTCAACCACGGTGGAACTGAGATGGGCCAGGGCCTTTACACGAAGATGGTGCAGGTCGCGGCGCAGGAACTGGGTGTTCCGGCTGAGAGTGTGTACACGCAGGATAGCTCGTCGTACCAGACGGCGAATGCGTCGCCGACTGCGGCCTCGTCGGGGAGTGATTTGAACGGAATGGCGGTTAAGGATGCGTGCGATCAGCTGAATGAGCGGTTGAAGCCGTACCGGGAGAAGTTCGGCAAGGATGCTGATATGGCGACGATAGCGCATGCGGCGTATCGCGATCGGGTCAATCTGGCGGCGAGTGGGTTTTGGAAGATGCCTAAGGTGGGGTATCAGTGGGGGACGTATGACGTGGAGAAGGTGAAGCCGATGTATTACTATTTTACGCAGGTATTTTTGCCTTCTTCTTTGGTAGTAATTCATTGGTGATGGTATGCTAATGGGCCATAGGGCGTCGCGTGCACCGAGGTCGAGCTTGATCTGCTTACGGGTGATCATACTGTGCTACGCACGGATATCAAGATGGACGTGGGAAGGTCCATTAACCCTGCTATTGACTATGGGCAGATTGAGGGTGCATTTGTCCAGGGACAGGGGTTGTTTACCATGGAGGAGACTCTTTGGACGCAGGGAGGACAGCTAGCGACAAGGGGACCGGGCACGTATAAGATTCCTGGTTTCAGTGATATCCCGCAGGAGTTCAATGTCAGTTTCCTGCAGGGTGTGTCGTGGAGTCATCTGCGCTCGATTCAAAGCAGCAAGGGTATTGGGGAACCGCCGCTGTTCATGGGGTCGTCGGTGTTGTTTGCCTTGAGGGAGGCACTGAAGAGTGCGAGGGCGGATTTCGGTGTGCAAGGGCCGTTGGTGCTGGATAGTCCGGCTACGGCGGAGAAGTTGAGGCTGGCGGTGGGAGATGACTTGGTGAAGAAGGCAGAGGTGAAGAGGAAGGAGGGAGAGAAGGGGTTCTTTGTTGCTGTTGCATGATGAGGTGTAGATATGTTGAGGCGTGCATCATACTAAATATAAACATTTCATGGATAGTACTCCGTCTTCTCAATAATCACATCTGAAGAAGGCACTATTCCAGTGGATATATAGGGGGAAGCGCTACTGCCACACCAGCCAGGCTTCCTCCATAGCGGCCTTCGCTCATGCCACACCCTCCGTCTACCTTAGAAGGCAATGTCGGTTCCCTTTAGGGTGTAGCCTTTTTCATACCTTGTACCATCTCCATACGGTCGTTTACTTGCCTGAGGTGCTGAATTCATGCCTCAGGAATAAAGATCTAAAATAGCAGATGGTAGGATTCTGCCTGTTTAAAAGATCAAGCCTTATCTTAGATGAATGAAAAATCTACTTTATAAGGTAAGCGAAGGCCGGTGTGAAGGAAGCCTGGATGGTGTGGTGTGGCAATAGCGTCTCTAAGGAAGCTTAGACAGGTACTTCCAAGAATTTTCTCAATGGGTACTAACACGAACATAGTATCAAGAGTTGTTGGATGCGTTAACAAGTCTCAATTCCATATCTTTGCATCCCCAATTTAGAGATATGATATTATATTCCTGTAGTAAAGTATACACGTCTCCACAAGTATCCTTATAGCCTCTAATGTCTGCCATCCCTTCAGCCAGAGCAAAACACTCATCTCTTATGCAGTACTCACAACCTCGCTACCTCCACCTCCATCTCGGTCTTCTCCCCCACTGTGTCCCACTTCGCATCCACCTGAATACCATTAGCACTGTCTCCCAACCCACATTTAGAAGCACTCACATCCGCAATATGATCATATCCCAACAACTTCGGCGCCAACCCCGGATCCCTCCACGCTAGCGCCTCCCCTTCAGGCGTAGGCACCATGCGCATCTTCCGATCGCGCTCCTCCTGCTCAGGCCCATCATGCAAATGATACAGATACTGCTGTTTATTTCCCCGTTCCACAACCATCTGCGTGCGCTGCTTGCGACATTTCTCAAATACGGCCAGAGCGTGACGCTTAGCGGCGATGAACTCGGGTGAGGATTTTGAGACGTTAGGGCCCGATGGGAGACGGAAGAGGCATTCGCCGAGGACGGCGCCGTCCTCGAAGGCCATTCCTGCACTGTTACCATTGTCAGTACTTCTGTTATTCAGTGAATTGTTAAGTTGATAGAAAGTACCCAGAAGCAAGATAAGGCAGTGTAGCATGTACAGAGTCGCCTAGCATGACCCATGCCCCGGAAGGATGTGTCCAGTCGTAATCGCCGAAGCGGATGCATAGACGCCATTTATGCACGGATTGGCAGAGCTTGAGGAGTTTTTGGATCCTACAAATTAGAGTCACCATCAATAGAAGGTAGTAGTGAAGTAATACCTCGGATCCCATCCCTCAAACAACGCACACATCTCCTGCACATTACCCTCGACCGTCGAAGCCAACGACTCCTCGGGGATATCATCAGGCACAAGCAGCACCATATTGAAAAGTTCCCCTTGTCGGAGGACATAGTTCACTACCCTCATTAGCCCCCAATCCTTAAATGGAAAATTGAATACTAACCAGCATGTTTATCCGGCCCCAACCAATAATTGACCTGGGGATCGGTCACAAACCCCCTCAACTCCGGATCCTTCAACATCTCCTCCGTGGACAACAACAACCGATACGCCAGATCCCCCGTCTTGATGGGTGGATCGGGCCTCTTCAACATAACCTCCGTCAACTTCCCAAACACCCCATCAGCACTAACAACCAGATCCCCCCTCCACGAGCGTCCATCACTCGCCACCGCTGTCGCCATAGCCCCATCCTCATCCGGAACAATATCCACAATCCTAGCAGCGCAGGTAATCTTCGCTCCCAACTCCTCCGCCCTTTCAAGCAAACAGCGCTGTAAATCCGCGCGGTGGAAATCGCGATACCACGTGCCCGGGTACTGCTTCGCCGAGTCAACGAAACTCAAGCTGGAAATGATCTCGCCCTTCCAGTGTAGAAAGTTGCAGACGCGCGGGTGTGTCATGTGTGGTGTGAGAGCTGGTTCTAGACCCCAGTGTTTGAGCACTCTAGAGCTGTTGGGCAGGACTTGGATGCCGGCGCCTACTTCGCGGATTTCGTGCGTCGCTTCGAGGACGTGTACGTCGTGTCCGGCGAGAAGGCAGGATATGGCGGTGCCGAGGCCGGCGAGGCCGGCGCCGATGATGATGATCTTTCATTCCATCAGTTTAGATGGATATACATGATGTTTGAGGGGAGTGGGATGTACCTGCAACCGACAGTTGTCGGGGAGGGAGCGCTTCTCTTTGATGTGGATAGGGGGCGCCATGGTATCAATCCTGTATACAATAGTAAGTGGTGTATGATCCAGTGGATACGTTCTACGCCATCATATAAAGCCAGTTCCAGCTCCAACGGAGTGGTTTCTTCTGCCCCTAAAATGGGGGATAAGCGTGAGCCTGACAAGAATGGGGGTCGGGCATGAGGGGATGCATCAATCTTATCATATCATTTGCGGGGAGAATAAGTACACCCTGCGGTCGGGGGCAAACAGCTTCCAGCAATCACCAGCAGATCCATCCCAGTATTACGTCCACTATGTCTCGAGTAAGTCGATCGCCTCAGGACAAATTCTAACAGAAGAACTAACAGCCCAGTTCTCCCTCCAAGGTCGAACCGCCCTCGTCACTGGCGGTGCCCGGGGCTGCGGCCTCGCCTTTGCGCGCGGTCTCGCCGAAGCAGGTGCCAACGTAGCCATCTTCGACCGGATACCTCCTGAGGAGGGATTTCTATCTATCGAGAAGGAGTATGGTGTGCGGACTGCATATTACGAGTATTCCTCTCACCCTCTGGGTTCTACGCCTCGCACCACAAACCCTAACGGATTGCTACAGAGTGGACGTATCCTCCCCGGAGTCCCTCGCCACCGGCTTCGGCGCCTTCCAAACAGACTTCAACAATGCACTCGACATCTGCGTCCCATGTGCAGGTATAAACCGACACCAGACATTCCTTGAATTCAACTACGCGGATCACCAAGAGCTGCTGGGTGTGAATGTGCTGGGCCTATTCCATACGGCGCAGCTGGCCGCCCGGCAGATGATTGCCAATGGCACAAAACACGGGAGTATCGTGCTGGTGGCGAGCATGGCGAGCCACGTGGCGGTACGGAGCCAGCTGTGCAGTGCGTATTGTGGGAGTAAGGGGGCGGTGAGGGCGATGTGTCCTGCTATTGCGAAGGAGTTGGCTGAATATGTATGTCTGCTGTTTTGGTGGCGTAAATATAGGGGAGAGATGGCTAATGGTGGCAGGGTATTCGTGTGAATTCGATTTCGCCGGGATATGTGAGGACGGAGATGACTGCTGCTGTGAGTACCATTTTCTCCCCCCGAGACCGGATAATCTAATCACGGTGATGACAGTTCCCCCATTTGATCGAAGAGTGGAAATCTGCAGCAATGAACGGGCGCATCGCCGAGCCGGAGGACATCATGGGAGCGTGTGTGTTTCTGGCGAGCGATGCTAGTTCGTACATGACGGGGCAGGATGTGATTGTGGATGGGGGTGTGACTAAGTGGTAGCATTATTATTATCTTTGCAGGGTCGATAACTATGAATTAAAACAGACTGATAATACATCCTATCACGCAATCATTCATAATCATAATCTTCCAATCTATCAAAAGGGTAGCTATCCCCGCATAAGCTACCACTGTATCCACGCCCAAAAGTGGGGTTATCAGCTCAGTCGGCGATCGCTCCGAACCCCATCACCGACTAGCTACCAACTATAACAATACTCATCTAGAAGCAAGTATGAGCGTAGCATCACCATTTCAAACAAAATTATCATCTCAAACAATGTCTCCTAGCGCCATCAACGAGGGCTTTCCCAGCCCGTCCACCATACCCACCACAACAGTGGTGGTAGTAGGCGCTGGCCCCTCAGGCCTAATGCTAACGTACCTCCCCCACTCACCATCCCACGAAAAACCACCCCCAACTAACCACTCTGCATGGGATAGAAACAATCTCATCCGCTACGGCACACCCGTGACTCTCCTCGACGACCGCCCGACAGCTACATCAACCGGCAAAGCCGACGGTCTGCAACCGAAGACCATCGAGACGCTGAAACAGCTGAGGCTATCGGATGAGTTGCTCCGCAATGGGGCGAAGGTGTATGATATTTGTTTCTGGGTATCTCTATCCCTACCCCTTACCCCCATATCACAACCCCCAAGATATGAATTATACTAATGACAATATGAATGATAATCTAGGAATCCACCCCCCAATCCCCAACCCTCACCCGCACATCCCGTCAAACACACTACCCCGAGCACCTCGTCGGCGCCTCAGACCCCTACATTCTCCTCGCACACCAGGGCATGCTCGAGGACGTGCTTATCAAAGATATAGAAGATCGTGGGGGAAACGTACAGCGAAACAGCCCGTTCGTGTCCGTGTCTAAAACACAGGACGGGAATGGAGAGCTAGAAGTTACCTACAACGACAACACAACAAACACGAAAAAGATTATTCGTACGAAATACCTCGTTGGATGCGATGGCGCGAGATCCAAGGTTCGGGACTTTATTCCTGGCGCGCAGTTGGAGGGGGAAATGAGTAATGCTTCTTGGGGGGTGTTGGATGGTATTTATCTATTTCATTTGTCTCTCGCTGGTGATGGGAAGTACTAATTGGTAACAGGAGTCATCGACACCGATTTCCCCGACCTATGGAGTAAGGTGGCTGTTCGCTCGCACACGGCGGGATCTATCCTCTGGATTCCGAGGGAGCGCGGTATGACGAGACTGTATGTTGAACTTAGTTCCACGGACGGGGAGAGGGTCGATAGGGCCAAGGCGACGCCAGAGTATGTTATGGCTAGGGCACGAGAGGCGATGCAGCCTTTCCGGCTGGAGTGGAAGGAAATCGGTATTCCCTGCCCCAAAGTACCCCTTCTCTATTCCGGGAAACAGATTGTTAATTCGTATAGAATGGTTCGGCAACTACGTCGTCGGCCAACGCGTCGCTCGGCGATTCATCGACCCCGAGAACCAGATCTTTATTGCAGGCGATGTACATCCCCCCTCTTTCCCCTTCTATTCTTTATTCCCCACCAATATACTAATAAAAGACCAGGCCGGCCACGTACACTCCGCCCTCGCAGCCCAAGGGGCCAACACCAGCATGCACGACAGCGTGAACCTCGCGTGGAAACTGAACCTCGTAGCCCGAAACCTCGCCCCAGCATCCCTACTAAACACCTACTCCGAGGAACGACGGAAGATCGCTAACGACCTGATTGCCTTTGATGCAGGGCACGTCGCGGCGTTCGAGAAAGGCGAGGCGGCACTTGCTCGAAACTTCGAGGAGAATATCCGATTTATCTCCGGTGTTGGGGCTGAGTATGACGCTGGGGCTCTTACGAAGTCAGCTGATGGTAAAGTGAAGGGAGGGATTCAGGCGGGCACATTGACTCGTCCTGCGAAGGTGACGAGGTATATTGATGCTAACCTGATGGATCTGCAACTCGATATCCCGATGATGGGACAGTTTAAGGTGGTTTTGTTTGTGGGGGATGTGGTTGGTGGGAAGGGGTTTTTGCAAGGGTTTTGTGGAGAGGATGCGTTGGAGGGGGTGAATGGGGTGGCAAGGGAGTCGTATAAGAAGTGTCCTCGGGGGGTTAGTGATGGGGACAAGTATTTCCCATTGGAGAGGTATACGACTGTCTCGGAGGTGGTGACGTACGGGTTAGTGACGAGGAGTCAAAAAAGGGAGTTCGAGCTTGGGGATTTGCCCGAGTTGTTGCAGAAGAGTCGGTGGACGGTGTATTTGGATGATGTGGAGGGCGGGGAAGGGTGTACTGGGAAGTGGATGGGGGAGATGGAAAGGGATCAGGTCGGGGTGATGGTTGTCAGGCCGGATGGGTATGTTGGGGCAAAGGGGGTGTGGGGATGGAGTGAGGGAGAAGGATCGAGGGCAGCAGAGTGGGTTGGGGAGTATCTGGCTTTGGGGAAGTAGAATCATAGATGGGTGATTCAGACGCGTGTTGATATTCTACCTTTTGGATGTCTTAAGTTTTGAGACAGATAATGTAGAGATGTGAAATTGCATCAATGGCAAAGTGAGGTCAAATGATGATGCAATGATTTAGAACGCATTCTACGTTAAGATGTTCACATAGTAGTCTTGATAGGACCAGCCTTATATTAAGTATCTAGTCAATGTCACCACCACGACGTTCAGTATTCCGTCTGATGCACCATACATGCCAATCATCCATGCAGAAAGCACAAAACAAAGGAGAGTTCAATGAGTGACGAGGGTCAGATGCAGACGCAATGCAACATAAGCCATAAATCAGAATCAAACACAAACACAAACACATGCTATATCATCAGTCTGATACAATACATAATCCACCAAGCATATCACATAGGAAACATCGCAAAAAGCCAAACAAATCATATAAAGTCGTTAAATCACACAGGGAACTTCACCCCGGTCCGATCCGTACACCTAGGCTGCGACAACACCCTAGGCAAGGCCCTGGCCTTGGGATCCTGGTTAAATCTCAAGCGATCACGCTTCAGATTAAATAGCCTGACCATGCAACTCATCGCCTGCTCCTCAGACAGCTGCATCGCCGGCAGAGCACTGACACTGCTGCTGTTATCGAGCGGCAGATCCTTGATACACGCCGCGACCATCCAGCGCACCAACACCTCCACATCCCGAGCATTGCTCCAGCAAGGGAACATGGATAGGATCTGAATGGCGCGGGTGAACTCGCGATGGCTAGGCGCGCGCGGGTCCGTCAAGTACAACCGGGGACCCTTGATCTGCTGCTCATCCAGCTTGCGGTCCAACAGACGAAGACATTCGCGTGGCGTCGGGTTGCGGAAGACAATCTCTTCCTGGAACAGGGCAGACAGGCGTGGCCGGTTGGCCAGCAACTGGTCCATCTCCTGGGCCGGTCCGGCCAGGATCACCACCATGGTGGAGGCGTACTTGGGCAGCAGGTAGACTAGCTCGTCCACGGCCTGCGTGGTGTCGGTGTCGGCTAGTCGGTGGGCGTCTTCGATGAAGAGCACCTTGCCCTTGTTTTGGTCGAGTTGCGACCGGGACCGCACCGAGGTCGGGTGGACATTGGGTGCCAGTAGGTCGGCGACCGAGCATGGCACCAGGGCTCCGTCGCTGAGAGCGCCCATTTTGTAGTACAGGGTGCCCAGCTGGCGGGCGACGGTCTTCTTACCAGTGCCTATGATATTGTTAGTTATTTATGGAATGGACGGGACGGAAGGTATTACCTGGTGCACCCTTGAATACAAAAGCAGCGGGCATGCGTGCGCCCGGATCCAGCCCCTGGAGCCAGGCGGCCTTCATCTCATTGTGATACCGCTTCAAGATGGAGATGATGTCGTCCGGCACGATGGAGTGGCGCAGCTCCTCACGGAAGACCAGCGCCGTCGTGCCGCCCACCAGCTCCGGGTTAAAGTCACGTCCCTCGAGGAGACGTTCGACGGGCTGGGCGCTGGCGCCGGTGCGCGACCGACGCTCAAAGTGATAGATGGCCGCAGCGAGGAGATGCTCGACGGCGCGAGCATTGTCAAAGTCCTTGCGCATACGGGCATTGTCGAGGGTGTCCATAGCCGCCTGGAAGGCCTCCGGGGTGGCATCGAGATCCTGCTCGTCGAGTTTGCTCTGGAAGAGCTCCTCCATGTGCTCGCGCGTCAACGCAGAGAAGCGCACCAGATGTGTCTCAAACCCGCGGGCTTTGGGACCCGCGCGATGCAGGAACTGGCTGATGCTGTCGTGCGTACCGACCAGGATGGTGCAGTGATTATCGCGCGGCGCTGCGAGGATGTCGACGACCGCGTCCGGCACGGTCGGGCGCTCCTGGCGATCGGTGTCGACGTCGACAACGAGGACATTGCCGATCGTCGACTCGACGGTCGCACGGAGTTGATCTTCCGGCAGATCACAGAGAGCCGACAGCGGTTTGACACGGACTACACTCGTTAGCAGTTTTTCTATACTACTCTTGTGCGGGTACTTACCTTCTCCGTTGTTCAACACTCCCAAGTCTACCAGAATCTGGGCGTACATCCGGATGGCCGTGCTCTTGCCGGTGCCTGGAGGCCCCGCAAAGATGCGATTGACCCGCAGCGGCAGACGACGCTGGTTGCGGATCTCGCGGTAGTAGTTCTCCTCGGTCGTGTCGAAAACTTCAGCCACCGAGGCCTTGACGGCGTCCTGACCGATCAGCTTCTGCATGGCTTCCCAGGCTTCGCTGGTCGACCGGGTCTCCGCCGGGCTGGGGCCGAGAACATCATCCTTGGAGAAGAAAAAGTAGTCCACCTCGTCCATGCCGCTGTCCTGCTGGTCGGTCAAGCACTGGGCTTGACGCTGAGCAATGCTCTTGACCATCTCGCGCACGGCATGGGCGTTGGTGAACCCCTTGGCGGCACGCCCCCGGACCAGCCGGCGAGCTGCAGCCTGCATGTAGGTGCCCTCGAGACCCCCCTCAACCTGCATGCGACCGTTGTATTCGGTAATGATGCGGCGAGCCAGCAGCTGCGTCAACTGCTGGCGGTCAAAGTCGTTGAATCGCAGCGAGCTGCAGATCCGTTGCTGGAGGGAGGGGTTCTCGCGCAAGAAGCTATTCATCTCGTCGGCGTCGCCAGTGAAGATGACAATAATGCGACCGATGTTGCGCTCCATCGCATGCCGGATATCCTCGAGAGCCTGCTCGGTAGCCGGGGTCTGGGGCGCGTCCATCAGGGTGTGGGGATGGTCGACGATGAGCACTCCGGCGGTTTGCACCGGAGCTTTGGCGTCCGTCATGTTGCGCAGCAGTTGCTGCACTCCGTCGGGACCCCGGCTAGCCAGATCGGCGCCAGTGGTCTCACAGACGGTATGGGAATCACAGATACCCATGGCGTACAGCATCTTGGCGTAGATGCGGGCGACGGTGGTCTTGCCTGTGCCGGGATTCCCCAGGAAGGCGATGTTGTACCACTCGCTCTTCGGGTCGCGTCCATGGCGACGGCAAATCTGCACCCAGGTCTGGACGCCGTGCAGCTGGCGTTTGACGTTGTCGTGGCCGACCAGACTGTCCAGCTCCTGGACTGCCTCTTCACGGGCCGTCTCACGATTTTGACGGTCGCGCTCGGCCAGTTCCTCTGCTGTCGGCTGGGGAGGCACCGGAGTCCGAGGCAGACTCTCGGGCTGTCTTTGTGATTGTGTTTCGGGCTCTGATCGGGCAGGAGCCTGAATCTGTGTCTGGGATTGTGCCATGATCCGTGGCGAGGTCTGCGCCGGAGTCTGTGTCGACGCGGTGGATTGCTGCGGTCGCTTGGAGGACCACAGCGAAAAGGGGAAGAAGGGGAACCGCGATGTCGATGACGGCCGGGTCATCGAGCAGTCCATGTTGTTGCGAAACGGATAGACAAACAGTCGTGCAAGGAGAGGCCCGACAATCGGGAGCATGAAGGGATGGAAGATGAAAGACTTGGTCATTCACAGGGGAGTAAAGCAGCAGATGGTCATGAGGGGGATTGCAGTGTTGGAAAATCTCCTGGAGCCAGCGTCCTCATGGCCATATTTATCAGCCATGTCGGCTGGGCAGCAGAAATCCCCGAGAAGTGGAAGTGAAGCAGTCCGGCAGTCATGGAAGGGAAGTTCAGTCAGACACCATTCTTTCCGGACTGCCTATGACGGGGCGACAGGTAGTGTGTGGCCGGAAGCCAGCCATGGTTGGTCGTTTCCGGGTTTGGACGAAAAGTGAAGCCATTCACCGCCACTTGTGCAGCCCAACGGCCAGGCAAAGCATCCTGTCATCGGGACGAGCTTGTTAGAGTGGAGCTGATCTGGGGGAATGATGGCTGGTGTCCTGGAGAGACCTGATCCAAGTGTCGCGAATCGACCTTGCTGAAACACGAAACATGAAACAACGAAGAAGCAGTATGGAGACCAGGGGACGCCCTGGCCAAGGGGCAGGAATCCATGTCGATGGGGGGGATGCTATCGTGATGCGGTAGATTGACAGCCAGCAGGTCAAGCTGCAGGGCTGCAATGGAATCAGTCGAGATAGAGAATAGGGTAACTGCAGACTAGTTGCTGATCTGGCGCATCGGCAGCCTATCAGTTCCCCGGCCAACTCATCCACTGAGCCACTTTGAGCTGTCGCCTCGTCCGACTTTCCCAAATCAATTCCTCCCTGCATTTCTGATTATTCCTCCGGCTTATACTTATGATGGGTCTCTCCGCCTGCGGGCCATCTTCCACCTTCGTGTTCTCCTCTTTTGCCTGGCTTTTTTGCTCCAGGCACCAGATAGACTAGATACAGCCTGTGGAATGCGGTGCGGAGCACGTATAACGTCATTCCTCCGGTCTCTCCTGTGACTCACTCGAGGAGATACTCCTCTTCGGTGTTGAACAACATGTGATGCGAGAATAAACCCTGAGTCTATCGCGGTTGCCGCTGCCTCAGGCTGTTGATAGAATGGAGTGATGGACAACCCGATCAGGCCCAATTAGTCCAACTGGTCCAACCTCTCTGAGTGCGGCCTAATCGAGTGAACAACTGGCTCGCCTTGTCATCGTCAATGGGATCAGCTTACTTGGAACATCCACCTTGCTGAAAATAGACGACGCCATCCATAAACCGGTTTTGCCTTGCGATCGCACCCGAGATACCCAACTCATACCTGAGGCATCAAGGCACGAAATCGGTGGTGTGCTCAACTTTGGGCTTTCTGAGCAGTCAACGACGAGGCGTGTCGCTTCTGTCAATTCGAACTAGCATTGGCCTTCATCTCTCGATTTGAGGTTCAGTTCTCGTCAGAAGGTGATCCAAGTTCCCTTAGTGCAAATGCGCACGCGACACCGTAATCTCGACTCAACATCTCTCCCCCCGCTTCCGAGTCACCCTCACCACCCGCGGCTCACACAACCATCTTTTCACGGTCGCATTCACGATCTGCACCATTTTTTCGCTTCACAGTCGATAATATCCCATGATTGTCGAATCGGAAGCTCATACAAACACTGTATAAACAGCTGGCCATGAAGATGGAGGGGAGAAAAAGTGGGGGGGCCATGACTTGGGCGGTGAGAGTCAATGATCCTTGCCAGCGGGAGGGGTAGAGTGACAGTAAGAGAAGTTAGGGATAAAGCTGCTCCTAAACAAAGCAACTATTAGTAAGTATACTATCTATGGGTAGTAAATAACTAGTAGTAGTAGTAGTGGCAGCATGATGTTTACATGCTTCATGCCATTTACTCTGTAGTAGTAGTCTTGTGGAAGCTGGACGTCGCAGGTGTGATTATATATTTATAAGTATTTATATATTTCTGGAATGCTCCTCCTGGTGGGCCTGACTTCAGAGTGATCTGTCTCATCATGTTTATTTTCGAGCCTACCAACTTGACTGTGTTACTACTACTAGTACTAGCAGTACCACCAGGCACCAAAAGATACCTATTGCGACCTAATAACCGAAAGGAAATTGAGGGTTGCAAGCAGTACAAATCGTAAACGACCAAGGAGATTGAGATAAAACAATATACATTGACTAACCCACCAATATATACGCCTAACCTAACCGACCATATACCCTACAGTAAACAGGTACCTACATACACTACTTAGTACTAGTAGCATCATCTACTAAAAAACAGCAGACACCACCATCGAGGCATACTTCTTCACCCCCGTCTTAGCCGGTCTGGCCTCAACATCCGCCACCTCGGCATAGAACCGACGAGGACCATCGAGATCAATCGTGCTCGCATCCACCCACCACCGTCCACGGTAGTAGCAACGCGCCCCGATATACAGCACCACAATCGCCACCACGGACACATAGTTGGCGAAGAAGCCCTTGGCCGTGGGATTACCGCCCAGGGGCCACAAACTGAGATAGAACTCGGCGATGATGAGCAGGATGCACCAGGTTAAGCCCCAGATGGCGCCGTAGGGGTAGGTCCAGGACCGCCAGGGGAGGTCATCGACGGAGCGGCCTTGGATCTTCCAGGCGTAGCGCATGCGGAGATGCGAGAGGCAGATGGTGCCCCATCCGAAGAGCGTGAAGAGGGAGGTCAGGTTCGAGAACCAGGTGAAGACGGTCGAACCCTTGTTGTTCACGTTGAGGTAGGCCAGGCCGCCGCCGATGACGAGCGTGATGACGAGTCCGGCGACGGGACGACCGGCTTTGTCGGCTTTGCCGAAGATCTAGGTTTGTAGGTGAGGAGTTAGTAAGAACGGAAAGACAAGTAGTTGATAAATTAGATATCCGAGGGTTACAGGGAGACTAACCTTTGGCGCGAGCTTGAGATGCGTCAATCCCATCAGTGTCCGCGAGCCACCATAGGCAGAAATACTTCCCGTCGACAGCACAGAGATGAAGATCACCGCGTTCATGATGTGAGCCAATGGAGCAAGACCCGCGTTGCGATAGGCAATGACAAACGGCGATGCGTTGACGCCACTACCGCCAAAAAGATTGGGGTCCTTCGGTGACACCGTGATGGTGATCATCAACGAGCCCAGGACGTAGAACAGCGACAGGCGCAACCAGATCGAGCTCACGGCGCGTGGCACCGCCTTGCGCGGGTTGTCTGTCTCCGCTGCAACCAGCGCCGAGTTCTCCGATCCGGACATGGCGAAGATACAGGTGGGCATGACAGACAGGAAGCCTTTGAAGCCGTTGGTGAATGGCATCGAGTTCCAGTAGCGGAAGCCGATCGGTCCTTCGTCGGGAGCGCCGCCGGCCGAAACCACTATCAAACACGAGATGGGTATGCGTCAGTTGGAGGGCTAGATGAGATGAAGCACATGCGCATGTGACTAACCGATCAGAGAAATGATGACCACAAAGATCCATCCGAACTTGATAGAGGAGGCAATGACCTCTACCTCGCCAAAGAACCGGACCGCAAAGACGTTTATGAAGATAATCACCACCCAGAAGATTGTAATCCAGGCCGCAGTTGGCACCTTGTCCGTCCAAAAGTTAAGGACCGTGACGATACCCTAAGCAGTCAGCATACAACGCCTAGCCACGCAGATACGGAGTCCTACCTGAAGTTCGTTTGCGATCGTGATGAAGTAGGAGAACCAATACGCCCAGCCCAGCGCAAAGGCTGCCGATCTGTCAATGAAGATCTCCGTCCACTGGGTGAATGCAGACGGCAAAGGATACATAACGGCCATCTCACCGATGGAGTGGCTGACGGACCAAATCATCGTGCCACTCAGCAGGTAGCCAATGAAGATGGCTGCCGGACCACCATCCGCCAGCGATTCACCACTTCCCAGCCATAACCCCATACCAATCGATGACCCCAGCGCAATCATGGTCAAATGCCGCGTAGAGAGGCTCCGCTTGAGATCGGTTTCGGCACCATAGTCGACATCCACGGATGCCCAGCGCTCCATAGGCTCCCCTTTCTTCTCAGCATCCTGAGGACTCCGGTTACTCGACGTTTCGTAGGCCGCCATGGTAGAGTGATCGGCCATCATGAAGGGATGGTCGATACAATAGGGGGAAAGTGGCCAATATTAGAGACACTGAAGAGACAGGAATCAGCGAGCCTCGTCAACCCCAGCCGGGGGTACCGGGATGATTATAACACCGCCACCACAGCTGTGCAACACAAGGCAAGAGCCTACGTCTCCCTCCCAATCACACTTGCGTGTCGCAGCGACCGATATACTTACCAGATAAGAGGCCTCTATCAGGCCATTAGTGGGCTTGGCGAGTATCAGGCGGAGATAAAGATAACACCCCTGTCCCAGTCGTATCGTGCGTGCCGCATACTTTAATTAGCATCTTGCACCGGACGAACTGCCACAGGCGCAGAAACCTTCTGGAAGAATAGCTGACGCCATGAGCTTGGAGTGGTATCGCTGATAACCAAATCCCCGGCTGCCAATCGTAGCGCTGAAACCGTGGATCGTTATCAGAACCACACGGTCTGTGCCATCAGCTGATATGCATCCTCCAGATCCCTCTGGACAATTGGGCGTTCCATGTTATCTTCTTCCTCGAGTTGCCGCAAATGAAACCTCTCCGAGAGCGCCTCATGGGCTCTCCAGGTTGAAAGGGTTACATTATAGACTTCGAAAGGCTTGGGGCGGAGGGGACGATAGGTGGTACAACCAATGCGAGCGAAGGCCCGAAACGACCAGTCCCCCAATAGATGACCACCGCATGTCATAATCGCGTGGGTAGAGCATGGAAAGGCTGTCCCCGACGTGTCCCATATCCCTTACATCTTGGACGCCGGGATCGGCGGTAACACAATGGGCAACCGACCTGGTAGCTGAGACAGCGGGGAGAAGGCCGGGTTGTTCCAGACCTAACCAACAGTGCGGAGTACATGAAGACCGAACAAGAAGAGCGGAGATTAACCTGTCGTCAGGGGTCGAGACATCCGCTATCGGTGTTTGGGCGAGGAATGGTTATCTCTGGCAGCGGTAGATAGACACTTACTGTGGTTGACCCCGGTAATATTGTTAGTATAGTAGAGAGATGCAGGAGATTGAATCCTTCTAATTCTGCTGTTTATATGATAATTATTAATAATTATTAATACTTTATATAACCACCTTCCACACTGATCACTACCTGGCATCTTACAGGTATACTGTCAATTAAACCATCTAAGAATATTTCTAATAAAGCATCCCATGCAGCTCATATAATCTTATATAGTTAATCATATAACAACTACTTATCCTCGGAGAAATAACACTCAATCCAGTCTTTTATCCAGTTCCAAACAGCTTCAATTAAATTAAGATCAAGTAAGAAAGCTAGCCAAATAATTAGAAAAATTCTATAATTATTAAACTCTTGAATAGTAACTCTACTTGTATAACTAGAAATATTATCTTGCATTAACTAAAGTCATTATTCATTATATTCAACCAAGTATATATAACCATCAATAATAAACAGAATGCACTCAATATAATTTTCAGTATTAATAATCTCCTATTCTTTCTCCCAAAAGAGGCATGGCCCTTTAAAATTACTGTAAAAAGATACCCAAAACATCTAACTATATTTACATAATAGATTTATACGGAGGCAGGTCTTATCAAGCTCCTCACTAGCCTTGCAAATCATATATATCTATTTATAAAAGCCTAAAGTTATCTAGATTTCATCAGTCCAGAGTATTCAATTCCATTAGTTTTGTGTCCAGTATAGATATTCAAAAACCCAGGCTAACCTTGCTTGTTTATTTATTAATATAAGAAATAACTTATAAAATACTTTACAGCATATATAGTCTTGCTTTTTTAAAAAATATGTTAAGGCTATTACTCCAACAGGAAGATCAAGCTCTTTAATAATATAATAATATAGCAACCGACGTGTACACTTTAAACTTAATATCCATTATATAATATAATTAACTTCTTCATCTAAGAGCTTTGATATATTGCCTTTTGCTTTACAAAATATAACTTATTAATTTTAACATATATATTGAACTTAGTAATAGCTAATCTATAACTAATTAACTATTTATTAATAAGTAAAACCAGTATTATAAAAAGTAAGAACACGGATACAATCATCATGATCTAAATATCTTGAATTTATTAATTTCAGAGAGATAGATTCAGATATAAAAAACATTTTTAATCTAAACACCAAGAATTAGCAAGATAAGTCATATTTTTTGTATTTACATACTTTAAATTCAACACGTGGCTGTATTAAGCAGGCGGTGTTAGCTAGGAGATTTACCACCAGAAGAATTCAACCCCCTGCACCTCTCCACCATACTAACAATATTACCGGGGTCAACCACAGTAGTCTGGTGGTTACTAGTAGTTAGCCTGGTTGTTATCTCTCTCCAGTTGGGGTAATCTGACGCGTCGACTGGAAAACCAATCAGGGCCGGAGCGAGAAATTAATAGAGCTTGGCTTCTGCGGCCCCTCTGAGGGGATGTGGAATAAGCTATCAATTTAGCCTTCGTAGCTTGCAGAGCTGTTGCTGCGCCGCCTGCACCCGGTTACCTGGGACGGGCCATTGGCTCATCGCAAACATCCCCCGAAGTGGTGTCAGACCGGCACGCGATGAGCAACTCGGGTAGCCACGGAAGTAAGGGCACGCCTGCTTGCCTTCAAGGTAGTCTAGAGTGAGTTGACAGTAAACTCTTGTACTCTTGTGGTACAGAGTCAGTTCGTGGGATGTTGGCCGTCAGTGGTGGGAGAGTCGCCGATCGGGCGCTGGCCCGCAAGGCAATCCCAATAATAACTTTCAGTGGCTGCCATATCCTACCTGCCATTGCAACCTCGCTGGCCATGCAACACGTGCGTAACTGATCGAGGATTGATGATCTTGCATGGAGAGCTTAATCCCTCAGTTAGCTGTTTTCCGTCCTTTAACCCTCCTGATGCGTTTGTCCTGTAGACGAGCCCTCCACACATGAGCTGGGACCCCTGCACTGTATACGGTCGCATTGCTCGGACTCACAGTCGTCTGCTATTTCCAACACTCAGGATAAAGGAATTAACGGTACAACAGCCGTGGAACCCTTTTTCTTCGCCTCTCGCCCCGGACTTCAGTGTTCTCGAAAGGTCTCGGAAGGGCGATGTCTCCTGCATCTACCTTGGCAGCTGTATCAGATTCGGCTTCACCTCACCGCCAGTTCAGCGGTCACTGAATATTCCAGGACTGACAGAGAAGCCGGACATCGTAGTCAGATCTGCTGAGGCAATGCCCGAAGCTGCAATACCTGCGGCAGAAGGGTTGTCCCTTGCGTCTCGACTCGAACCTGGTACCCCCCATTTTTAGATTGTGGCTACTGACCTGATTGGGAGTCGAGACTGACACTTGTCCTCGACATCGGCTAGAACAGCATTAAGATGCACTGGAATATGCTCTCTCATATTGATCCCACCAGATAGGGTCGCCACTGCTTGCGCTTGTTTATCGCTGCTTTGGTGCCTTCAGCTAACCCGGACATGTCATTGTAGTCACGAACCCCCTTGCACAGTCGACCGCGACCAGATTCCGCAAAAGAATGAAAGGCTTCTGGTATTCATTGTTCTGTTTCTTTATTGCGCATCAATTGTATGCCGGACCCTTCAGCCGACGAACGAGGAAGCCCAAAGAACGTTCAGCTATCCCACAATTCTGAGCAAAGGTAGCCAAAGAGCCGTCAAAACTATGACATGAAATGAATTGAGGAATAGAGGTCATGTAAATCGGTTGTTCTAGCATGATCGGTCCAAATCAGTATAGTAATGATATTGTCGTACTGGTCCTTCAGCGTCCTCTAGATATTTCCAGTGTGGGAGAGGCAGGGAACTCTCAGCTTCAACGAGAAAGCAAAGCCAGTACCAGAATGATCATGTAATCTTCATAGCCGGATTCACGACGAGTGTGAACTACCAAATGCACGCATCAATTCCGCGAAGGGGGCCACTTTGGCCGGAGCTACATAAGCGGTGGTGAGTCATTAGACCACTCCTTAACTGGGAATCAGGGTCTCCGTCCTCCACATTCCCCACCAGTGATGTTGGCGCTCAGATCATGCTCCGAGACATGGAGCTAGCGGAGAACTGCTTTATAAGCGATCGGAAACATTCCTTGTACAAAGGTCGTCATGCAGTGTATACTGCATCGGTTAGGCTACTGGCAGAGTGTTCCATATTAACATCAGCTGTTGGGGAGGGAATCGTATCGCACAAGTTAGTTCTATTGGTATGCTTAATAGCTGTAGACCGTCCCAGTGACTCTCCGGGGTATTTTGAGTCTCCTGAGGTCTGCGTAACCAATAATTGCGGAGCGAGGAACCACTAGTGCAGAGAAGGATCGCAATTTAGGCATATAAGCGACTCCCTGCTGCTGATTGAATTGCCTGGTAGAATTTGAATTGCACTTCCGATGACATTTGTAAGACTGCCAATTTTGATCACGAAAGGCATGCCGCAACATCTATAGCAAACACTTTCAGCAACATATTTGCCTGCATGTGCGAGCGCCCGTCTATAATGCAATGCTCATAGCATATACTGATTGTCCCTGGTAACATAACGGCAGCATTTCTCCCCGATGCCCAGGAACTCTATTTATCATAGAGCAGGAGGCAGTTGGGATCATCTGATTCCATCTCACGTTCCCCTATTTGTCGCATGAGCAGTAGACGCACGCAGGCACTTTCCAAGCTTCGCTTAGAGGTGAATACGAGGGGTAGGCCATGCATTCAAGATGCAATCATACTCAGAAGAGCATCACCCTGGGTCTGTTGGCTGGTTATCACTGACTGCTGGAGGTTACGACAGGCTTCGGAAGTCTCTTAATGATACAGTAGTCTTTTCCAAAACTCCAGCTTCTTCTCTCAGGTAGTCTGAAGATCTGCTTAGGAAGCAGTAGATGACCCCTAGCAAGTCTTCGTGGGATCTCAAAATTACTTGTGTTTCCACTGATAGATACTTCCACGAGAGGAGCCGTTTACACTGTCCATGTGCTCAATTCTACCACCATTTCTTG